TAAATAGAACTCTGTGTATAGGACGGTAAAATTACAAAATTTTAACATTTATGATCATTACTTAAAAATTAATATATTTATACAACTTTTATATTATAATTGGGCTGGGAATTGAACAATTTTGCCCCACCTTTCACAATTAAATTTTATATTGGGATATACAAGTTCTAGAAAAACATGGGTGTAATAAAATTGCTGTAGTCTAGGAAGAGTCTTACTCCAAAACACTTCATCAAAACAAATTTCATCAATGTGAACCCAAATACCATTAGAAACAACAAAATGACACACTTTTCCACCAGCACAAAACAATTGTTGTTGCATTTGGTAATAATACTTATGATTATTATTTATGTAAAGTTTCCCATTTTTTTTCTTATAAATGTACAACCTGCACAATGTATCCATGAAAGATTCATTCTCTTTGGCAGTGACCTTTTTTACTTCAAGTAGTACATTGTCATTTGTAATTCCATCAGGTGATGCCCCAAGAAAAGGATGAGTAGAGGAAATGATAAATCCCACCTTCCTAACAGTATTTCCAGAAATTAATTCATATTTTTTAAGTATGCCAGCTTCTGATTCAATTCCATCCTTCATTGCTTTGGTTTGAATTGGCGTATGATAGTCAAGAACATCAGCAATAGCTTTGGTAGGACTTGTTGTTGGTTTTATTAAGCATCTTTTGACTTTTGATGCTGTTATACGCGGTTGTCTAACATCATACCAAAGTTTTGACTCGTGTTGATTGACAGTAAGTTCCATTATGCGATCGCGGTCACTCACTGATGCTAGCAACCTTTTCTTAACCCTTTCATTCTTCGCTTTTATTTCATTTAGTGACATTGGTAGATATTTGTTTGGAGAAACCAGCTGCATACTTGCACTATCTAAATGAGCACTATATGATGGATTGTAGTAAGAAGTTTCAGAAGTCCTAAAGTTATTTTCCTCATTTGGCTTTGGAATAATGAAGCTCAAACCAGTCTTCATTCCTGTTTCAGCTTCCAGAATCTTTATTTTCTTGTAAAAAGAATGTAGATCCTCATTTGATGGTTTTTGTTTCTCTGGAATTTTTTTGATTAAGATGTCCTCAGCAGATTTGAATTTTTCCTTGTTATAACTATGCTTTATAAACTTCATGTCCTGTATTGTGGAAGCTTTAGCTGCTCTTTTAGGAATATTCCAAGTGCAAGGCTTTGAAGTGCAAGGAGTAACAGAATCTTGCAAGCCGAAATTGTTTACTTTATTTGAAGAACAATCTAGAGATTCCAGCAAGAACAATGTAGCAGCTACATGATTGCAGCGTCCATCAACTCCAGCAGGGCAATCACAGAAAGCTTTTTGCACAAGAGATCTTTCATTCATTGTTATTTTGACTATATAACTATCTTTTCTCATGGAAGGTAGCACTTTGCTTTTTATGAAATATAAACCATTTCTTGTTTGTGATAGAACATGTTGAACATTGCCAGACTTGAAGAAATTATAACCTTTCACGAGAGGTTTTTCAGTAGATACTTGCTTTTTAACTTCAACATCATCTATTAGAAACTTCCAAATGTTGGCATACCTCACCCTTGGTAAAATTGAAAGATCTGTTTGGAATCCAGACATGGGAAATGCTTCATCTGGTGTCGTCTGAGGAGTACTTAGAGTGATCCTTTTTTTTCGATAGTTCTTTCCACTGTCAGGGTCAACAACTTGTCCATCCAAACCATTGTTAATGTAATTCTTTACTCTGAAAAGATACATTAATAAGCAATTATTTTAAGACGTTTGAGAGGTCGCACCGTCGCACATAATTTGATAATTGATAAAAAAAATCCACATACCTGTTCACAAGCTCAAGCTTTTTCCAGTAATTTTAGCTCCACGACACGAAAGCCATCTCTTTAATATTGCCATCGAGCACTGTTCGACTGGCTTACAGAGCTTGGCACCAGGTATGTCATCCTCAGTTAATACAATATCATAGTCAGAATAAAGGCAAACTTGATCTTTTTCAGCGTAATTATGCTGTTCATCCATTATATTTAATATTTTACAGTCAGAAATCAACTCCAACTATTCAGTATCTTGCTAACAATGATACCGAAATAAATTCCCCAGGTAAAAAATAAAGTTGTTTACGAGCTAGTAAAGCAAAGCGTCCCCTCAAATATACCACAATGCAACGTGCACTGTCAACTAGTCACTAGTCTTCGCAGTGTAATTACCATTTCCGAAACGGCGAATATAATATGTAATTCTATCTCAATTTTTATCCTAACTTCCTCTTGTATATATAATCTAGCACAGGGGTCTCCAAACTTTACAGCCAGAGGGCCACATGAACTTTCATCAAGCATGTTGAGGGCCGACGAACCGTATACCGCTGGTCAAAGAACAAATATTTTAATAAAACGAAGTACATTACAAAAGCTTCATTAGTTAAGAAAATATTTATTCAAAATTTAAAGGTTAAATTTCAATGAAAAGTAATATCATTACAAAATCACAATTAGTCTGTTCAGTTTTGTCAATGTGAGTGGTGAAATTGGCTTTCTTAAGTGTCTCTGCGGGCCGGATTGAGAGGCCCAACGGGCCGCATCTGGCCCGCGGGCCGTAGTTTGGAGACCCCTGATCTAGCACATGCTTTTGTATTCATTTAATATTATCCCCTGAAGAGTGAGAAATCACGAAACAGGCTTGTCGGGATGAATTTGTAGTTTTTGTGTATTTTCTTCTTCTCGTCAATATTTACGCTCTGCTCTTAAGCATCGAGCACTGTACTTACGGAGATTCAAATAAACAAAACTTCCTAATGATCTTATAAATATGTTAGAAATATTTTTACAATACGGTCGATAGTATTTTTCATTTGTAACATAAATTGTAAGTAACATTAGTATTCCTAATATTTGCATCTTCGAATATTATATATAGGTCAATAGTTGAGAAACATACAGTGGGGCCTGCCCATTGAGTTTTTTGTTGTATTACGCATAGCTTACTGCTCATTTGATTGCCATAGTGGAACCAGTAAATTGCATAATCTACAATTAGAAACGAGGAAATGGTTAATGGCTGCCATTATTCTAAATGAACAAACAGCAGTAAATTGCGGAACAAAGTGGACCAACTATATATTCCCTATACTGTGATACATCTGGAACTGATGTTGACTAAATTTAAAAAATAAAAAGCTTAAAAGATCATATGTACAAAGTACGTAATATAAATTATTTGAAAGAGTATCTGCGCGCACATGACTGGCGTTCGTTAAAATCAAAAAAATTACAATTTTTGTTATATGACACAAGTCACAATTGACATTTCCTATATTTTTATGACACCAAAAAAATCTTTTAAATATCTAATTCAACAATTTAACTTAGTTTTAAAAGAAAATTTTATATGCAAGGGTCGTTGAGAATTTGTGCATACAATACATAAATAAAAACTTTGACAACTTGGCAATATTTCCTTATTGACAGACTACAATATCCGAGTTTCAGATTGACACAAGTTTCTTTTTTATATAACAGTATTGCAGCTTTTTATCTACTTTTCAATAAGAAAGCTAAGAAGCTCCTTGGCATCAGACGAAAGCAAACTTATTATAAGATATACAATCAGCAATTCAAATATTACGAAGGTATCCGGAATCATGGAAGAAAACGGGGGTTTTTGCTATGGAATTTTATTTTTTTGCTTGCACGTGTTCTTCTCACGAAGTAAACCAAGCACCGTTTCGATTAACTTCTTCTAACACTGTGCCTTTTTCAGGCAGTTATAACTTAAGACAACCTTTAAAATGTTTCATACAATATTTATTGGTTTATATCTTTCCGATTTAACACTTACATTTACTGTTTCTCGTCTATCACGAGCAAACCATCCATGGGCTTCATGGAAAACGATTATCTATTTCCCTTAATCAACATGCGGCGTCTGGTTCTCAAATATCTCGGGGTGTCTCGAGGCATAAACCGAAAACGGGATTTTTTGTTTTCAAAATTTGTCTTTTTCCTTTACAAGAATTCTTCTCATAAAAGAAGCTAAAACATCCAAGGATACTACAAAAGTTTAAACAACTTCTGCCTACATCACTTATAATTTAAGCATGCTTATACGTGCTTTTACTTGTCACTTTTTACAATGTATTTTTTTCATACCTCTCTTGTGATGAAAGAGAGCCTCCTAATACCATATAACTCTCTCACCATCAACGAAAGCATCCATGGGCTTCATGGAAGGAAGGGAATATCTACTTTTTTATAATAGTTTCTGCAAAGATAACATTTAATAAGCGAAGCAATTTGTATCGTCTAAGTTGGACCTCGCTTTCAACCCTTATGTTATAAAATTTTGATTCACTTTGACAGTAAATTTCTTTTACATTGCAATATTTTCATGATTCAATGTTTCAAAGAACTTCTTTACTCGAGTAATTTTGCGATTAAAAAAGAACAGTTTTTGGATTCAAAGGAATTCTTTTGATCGCATGGAGACAGCCGTCCAATTTATTACGTACCTTTTGCGTATATAAAGTATTTACAAATCACGTACAAAATTTCCTTCACATGACCAAATTACCGTCTATTTAAACGATTTATGTAACTTTATTTACTTTATTTAAATAATTAAAAAAAATAAACTATTTAAAGAAATGTATCCATTTAAAATCTGAAAAATGATTTTATGAATAGACTAAAACAAATCATTAAAGGCCACAACAATATGACTTACCATTGAAATAAGGTCTCAAATGGTTTTTGCAAGGTAGAGCAACTTGCAATCCAGTTACTCTTCTTGTTATAAGTACACTTAAAACATAATATTTCATATAACAAGTGTAAAAGTGGTTGAAAGCTTTTATACTTGTGAAGAATAGAGAAATTTAGTGTGATTTTTTTGTCATGGAATTACAAGTGCAGAAAAATCACTGAAGAGTTTCATGCATTATAACTTAGGTACGCTGTTTGTGCCATGGCAATTTAAAAGTACACGCTTTATCTTTTTAATGCAAAGTTTTATTGAACAGTAAGCTAAGTAATTAAGTAAAATACACTTTGTGACTACAACAAATATTTTTCTTTTCTGAAACCATAACCTATTATAACGTGTCAAGTGGGTGCCATAGAGCTTCAATCTACACAAAAAGAGATTATAAAATTATTAATTTTTCATTAATGTTTAAAAATAAATACGTTTTTTTGATTATTACCAGTTCACATTTTACAGCATCTCAAGTAATCAATATTATGAAGCCAATTCCCTTTATAATCTCGTCTTAACCCAGCAATGTAGTAGCCATCTTTTTTGCACATTGTCCATCCTTTCTTTTTGAAATCAATTTTTTCATGGCTACAGCCACCATACTTTTCGGGATAATTAATTGGTTTGCAACACCTTCCTCTTTCGATGTTTGATAAGTGATTGCCATTCGAACGATACAGACCATATAGAAAATACCCTTTTGGACAAATATTCCATGTTCCTCGTCTAAATACAATTTGTTTGGTAATAAGTTTCTGTCTTTATTTCATGAATTTAATTCTTTAAGACATTGCAAATTTTTTAATTAAAAAGCTGTTTCAGTCGCTAATTTTCATTGCGAGAAAAATTAATAAACATTACGCAGCTCATAAAAAAACAATTCTTAAAGTTGATTGCAAAAAACAGAATATCTCAGCTATCGGTAGCTAGCAAAATGATCAGTTCCACAGCAACGTTAAAAGAGGAATAAAGTACAAAACTCGATAGAAATGAAAAGTCAAAATGTCAAAACACAACAACAAATAATTAGTACCATCTCAGATTAACCCTTTCAAAAATTGTCCATATCAGGAACGCACTTATTGACATAAAATTAAACCGTCATGATTGTTCATGGTTGTATGGTGTGCGTAATGTTTCCTCTTTTTTGGTTTTTCGTTCACTTTCACAGTAGCATGCACTAGCTTGGTACACCAACACACAATTATTGTCTAAAAGTATATTTGTAGGAAAAGGTACTAACATGTTGAAAGTTCTCTCCCAGTTAGCGTTTTTACAAATAATGTTTTGGGCGAAATATTTTGGACTTAACGGGCAGCATTTTGCTTGTTCAAGACGGTCGAGTCCATCATCCTTAATTACGCTGTTACGATAAAAGCCAGTGATAAACTTGTTTTGGGGACCACAGTTCGACCATCCTTCTTTTTCGAAAGATATCCCCCAATTTGCGTTCACGCAGACTGGTTGGACAAGGGCTGAAATTAAAATGGAAATAATTTTTTCTAATGAATCAACAGTATAAAACTAAATTGCAATAATTCAGTTTGGAAACTTTTATTTTACATCTAATCATTTTTAAAAGCAAGAATCGTATTCGACATTATCTTTTGTCAACTTGTCTTAAAGAGTAGTGATCAAAATTTTATTATGTTGTAGAATCATCTAAATAGCTGTAATTGGCATTTAAACTAAGTAAATTTATTTATTCATAATATTAAAGAAATATTTGCAAGAGTGCCTATCGTATAAAGACAATCAACGAAGTCGTGTTGTAACATTTACAACGGAATATCATCCAATTTTGAAAAATTTAAATACAGTGTATCAAAATTAGTTCTGTTGAGAAAAACATCTCTAATGACTTTGATGACGCATGTGCACAATGAACAAAAAGGTAACGCTTTTATGTTTACAATTCATTTAAAAAATACAAATACCCAAAAGAATATATTCGAGGCAGACCTGGTGAAATAAGTTAATCGACAGACTTCAATTTTCAGAAAGAAAACATTTCAAATTTGATTACGATTATAAAATTTGAGTTAATGTATTTTTGTTAACAAGTATTTAATTCATCCTCTCCAAGGCAATGTTTGGATGTTAAAGATTTATTTACTTGATATTTTTCGCAGCTAACTGATTTTGACTTGAAGGTAGTACTTGTTACAATGTTGACTGTTCAAAGTAATAATAATTTCTTTGTCTTAGTAGGTTTGTGACAAATTGTGTATCTTGTAAGTTAAAGAAATCTTGCTCTGTTTTGATTGTTAAATAGTAATTATAAATCCTATAAATTGGCTTAACATCTTAGACATTTGGCTTAACGAAAAAATTAAACAAACCTTCACAAGTTTCGCCTTTAAAACCAGAAGCACATTTACAAGAGAACTTATCTCCATTGTTTGTACAAACACCGTTGTTTTTACAAGGACGTTTGTCGCACGGTTTTGGTATTAACTCTGCAAACGTGAAGATAAAAATTATAACATTAGTAAATGAAATGCAATTGCGAAATAAGCATTCGACAACCCAACATTAAATCCATTTCTTCTACAATTAAATACACTGAAAGAATGGAAAGTATACCATAGAAAAACTAAGTTTATATAAATTTATTTCAATTTGCTAAATAATCATAACTCTTTTTCATATTAATAAAAGACACATGCATAATCACTTTTATACGTTCAAATTTCTGATTATCAAATATACAAAATCATTAGGTCGTGGGCTGTCCACTAAAAGAGTATCATTTCCCTACCACAATCGCAATGCTAAGATAACTTTACGCTATTCTATAGATTTTAAAATGCTGATTTCAATTTTCCCTTCCTATTCACCATAACCTAAAGTTATTTAGTAAACAACCATCGAAGTTGCTAGCTTTTCATATAGGGCATCTTTTTTTTAATGGAAGTAAAGGGTATATCTTCATAATCTGATCTGCTTTGAAAAGATTATTTCATTTGTATTACACTTTGCTAAAAATGATTAAGCACTTTTTGTCTAATATAATGATAAATTTTGATAATTTCTTATCAATGACATGTGCCAAATACTAATAAACGATGATATACAAAAGCCTCGTCTATTTGTGTCATTGATATAAAAAACTAAAATTATCAATAGTTTCAAGTTTTAGGTCATTTGGCGTCATTTGAAGTTTGACATCATAAATTTGCAAAATTTGCTTTGTATAAAAATTTCTGCATCGGTCCAGCTTTAATCACATGTTGACTGTATTTCAATTAAGAAAACGTATGAGTACACTTACTCTGGCAGTTCTTTCCAGTGAAACCATATTTGCATTTACAGTTATAAGAAGATCCAACAGTTGTACAAACACCTTCATTTTTACAAGGTTCGCTGGCACAAGCGTTAGGAACTAAAATGAAAAAAAATCAACCCTAAACATTGTGATGAAAATGCACGACAAAATTGTTGTTTGTATTGTAATTGAGGATTATATTACACGTAGTTAATGTATATTTGATAATTCTGTTTATGTCATAGATACTCCAATTACGTTTTTGCAATTACGTTTTTGAGGTTCGGTGTGATTTACAGTGAGGTTAAAACCAAGTTGTATTTGATATTTGAATGATTATAAAGCTTTTAATGACCCATATTCAAGTCTTTTATACATGGAAATCAAATTGTATTTTCAACAATAACTTCAAGGAGAACTCAAGCCTTGCTAACCTTCGCAAGTGTTGCCTTCAAAGCCAACAGCACATTCACACGAGAATGCATCTCCATTACTTGTACAAATACCATTGTTTTTACAAGGACGTGAGTCGCAAGATGACGGTGGTAACTCTATGAACAGAAAGATAATCGTATTACTGTAGATAATCCTTTTGCCTTGATATTTGAACACAATACAAAATTAAAAATAATTGCACAAAAAACTAACTTCTATTTAAAGTAACAATGATATAGCTAGAAGTTTGTTAAAGTTGCTTGGAGACCAAATTTAGAATTATTTTCTTCAAAAGCTGTGGAAAATCCCACCTTGATGTAAAAACTAGTATTTGTATTTATGACTGTAGTAGTTTCAGAGAAACCCACTTTAATGTGGTAAACCTATTTATATTTATTTCTTTTTAAGTTGGGGACAACTAAAATTTAAAAGGGAGATATTTTGATGGCGGCAAAAAGTTGTATAAAAGTAAAAGTAAACAAAAAAAAAGTTACTAACTTTTGCAGTATTGCGTTCGAAAATTTTATTGTGCGTTAATTGAATATAGGAAAGTGCTTGTCAATCAATTTCAAAAAATCTTCTGCAATGTTAGTTTCAACGTTTTTATTTAATTTGGATTGAGCCAAATAATACTTCTAGTGCATTTTCATTTGTTGGACTGGGTGTGTTTCTCTACCTTAGTTGAAAATGATGTTGTATTGATGTTCTATAGCGTTGCTGTAAATTTGAGCTACTCGATGATATTTTTGACAGACGATATCGACGAAATCCTGTGGTTTTTCAAGACTGGTAGTTGTTTAATGATAGAGAGACTAGTAGTTGTTTTATGATAAATGGAGGATGATTGGAGTATTTATAAAAAAATAGGTGAGCAATGCTTACATGTGGACATACTGGTAAATATATTGCCACAAATGAAGCAGTTGGATGAGCATAATACAAATAATACACATTGAAAATATGTGAAAAAGGACATTGGTATTTTTTATTTCTGAGAAATGGGCTGTCTTTTTCCTTTATAATTCTTTTCTAATATAATTTTAAAAATACTAATTTCTGAAAATTTTGCACACGGCAAGGAAGGGCGATTATATTAATAATATCATCTTATGATTTGTTTTAAACGCATCGTATAACATGTTTCAATCTATTTGGTCAACTTTGAAATAAATGTTATGTAAATCCTTACAAACTGGAAAGAAAAATAAATCCATCGAATTGAAGACACCAAATTTAACGTTAACTTTGTTGCAAAAGAAACGACAACAAATAAAAAGTTAAGCATTAGGAGTAAAAAAAATTAAGAACTGCAGCTGATCCAAAAGTACTTTTCTGCTTACTGATTGCAAAAGAAATGTTCACACACGATAAGCGGAAAGTTCAACAATATGATCATACTTTGGTGAGTGCATTGCGTACGTAAATGTGTCAAGCATTTTGCACAAGAAACGGCAAAGAATAGAAAATGCTTGGCAATGCTTACGAGTAAAAACAGATAAATTTTAGAAATCCAGAATGAATAGCCTGTCTGAGTACTGCTCTAGTACGAATGGCTTCTCTGTGTTCAAAACGATTTTGTATTTACTTCTCATCGTAATACAAGCAGTATGGTGTATCAATTTAGTTGTGTCACTTGGCAAATCAAAACTAATAGATGTTTGTAATCACCAGCATAGGAAGCTTATACGTGTAAAATATACTGAATTACTTAGTTTTAATTGTCATCTGTGAAATAGCGAGCGACAATTTAGCGCAAACGCAAATATAGTACAGCCAGATCAGTGAATGCAGCATGGTGGCATTTTTTTACTAGTTTCCTCTTTTTGAATGCATTCTATTTTAATTATGACATAGCGTGTAATGTGCACAAACAAACAAACAAAATGTACGGACATTTTTTAGTAAAACATTGCAGTAAGCCTGCAAAAAAGTTATCTACAAAAACCACGTACATAAGTAAATAACTAATATGATGTAGTTTGAAATCCAATTCAACCGTTTTTTTGAAATTCAGTTAAAACCTTCATGACAACTGTTTTTTATAAATATAAGTGCATCATAACAAACCTTCACAAGTTTTTCCTTGATATCCGTTAATACAAAAACAAGTAAACGTATCTCCTTCCTCAAGACAACCACCTTCATTTTTGCACGGGAAAGATTCACAAGGACCTATAAACGCATTTAGTTACTATACATGGCGTTTATTTTAACAGGTCTCATACAAGAACTTAATAAGGAAAAGGGTTGATCTAAATTATAGAAACAACAAAATCTCAACGTGTAAGAAGAGGATGTCTCTACGGCTAATCGATAAAAGTTTTTTTTTGACAACATTTACATATGTTGAATTTACAACATAAAATCTTTTTTTTTGCGCCTTTTTACATCAATCTAATAAGTACAATTTTCTCTTTTTTTAAAACATTAACAAGTCAATGTTATTCTTACTTTTTGATGAGCATTTTCGGTCGTCGACACAAGTCATAGCACCCTTATTACACGTACTAAAAAAATGAAAAACGAAAAAAAAATTATGTTGATCATAAGAAAGTATAGTAATAAAACAAATGGTGTGAATCCGGGAGTATCGCTCTTCATTTGTTGATGAAGATTGTTCAGGTTAGTAGAGTCCTGAGAAGGACTGTTGGTGTTAATTTTTACTGACGTCTCGACAACCTTAGCGGAAGACATCTTCATACACTGACAAACATGTAAAGTATAGTAACATAATGTTCCTACGAAAAGAAAATTACCAGGTTTTACAACGTCCAACTTTGACACTTTCACCCGCCTTGTAATAAATTCCTTCAAAGAAACATGGACATTTCTTCATAGGTACACAATGATTCTTATCGTCCAAGTAAGATCCTTTAGGACACTGACATCCAGGAATGCATCTTTCACTGCATTTTAAACCACGTGATATATCACGACATGTTTTTGCACAAGCAGATCCGCATTCTGTGAAAATTTCTCCTTTGTTACTGCATGTTTCCTCTACATAAAAAACAATGAACGTTTAGTGAATATTTTACTAATATATTAACAATTAACGTTATGCCAAATTTTTCCACTTCTTACCACATTCTTTGAGTTTTGGATATAAGTAAGTTCCTTTGAATCTCCAGTCAATTACACCGCCATATTCAACACAAAGTTTACTGTAAGCAGCAAAAGCGTTACAAACACATTTCGTTGGATCTGTGCAGCGACATGCGTCATATTTACAGTTACTGATCAAGGCGGCTGGATCAACATAACGGTTGCATGCTTTGTGGAATGGAGATGAAGTATCGGACATCAAGTGGCATTTATCTATTACAGCCTTCTTCTTGGAATCAGGGAAACATGTTTGAGGTGGCAGGGAACATTTTGTACTGTATTGATTGTCATCATCTCGACGACCATTGTTATTGCCACATAGAGATGTGCTGCAAACCTTTCCCTTGTATTTTCCAGAAACGGTGACTTTGACGTAATATCTACTGTCCCAACTCGTTGACATTCCGATATCAGCAGTAAAAACCAGCCAACTCCCACTGGGATTGGTGATTTTAAATCCTTAAAGAAAACAAGGTTGTATAGTAAAGGTAACAACATTTATTCATTTTACTGATCTCAAATGAATGACATCACAATAGCTGCTTACTGACTGTCTAAACTTTCAAACTTTTTCGTATGAGTTTTCTGTTCATCATTAATAAGACTAATTTAAATCAATTCAAATAAATTAAAATAGAAACACATACCACGGCGAACTATTGGAAATTGTGAAAGTCTAACTCCGTTTACAACTGCGGAACGACTCTGACGTGTGAACTGAATGAAGTAACCAGCTATATAGATCTTAACAGCCGCTGTACAAGTGACACGCCTCCCACAACGCGTATTTTTAGTGCGAACTGTAAAAAGTGATTTTTTGCTGCAATCTTTGGCAAAGTCGTATTCACAATCTCCCATAAAATCAAATCTTTTGCCATCAAATGAAGTGTAATGAGGATCACCAGATGCAATGCATGTTGCTAAAGAATATATAAAAGTTTGTAGTGTACAGTATTTTCAACTCCTATATTTAAATAATTCAGCATGGTAAAAAAAGAGAGTCGATGTTGGAGTTTGCAATATGAAGTGTTTCATTTACTTTGTATAATCGTATGAATAACAGATTTTTCCTTTTCGATTTTTTGAAGAAAGCAGGTTTTTTAAAAACTGCATAGTCTATATTTGCTGCAGCGACTCGGTTAGATATTAAAAAAATTTACGGATTGAGCATTTTCTTTTAAGTTGACAAGTGAATTTCAAACGAACAAACTGTTTACTGTATTTTGCATTCCACACTATATGCCCTGCACCTTTTCCACTATGCCAGTTAAGCATTATGATAAAGACAATAAAAGCTTTAAAAAAAAACAACAAGGAAGCCTACAGAGCGAAGATAATTTAATAATGCTTTGACATTGAATTTGTTAAATGCAATTTTGACAAACAAATTGAACTTGGAATCGCTGGTAATTTTTTGAATTGAGTAACTAAAAATGACATTTCTGGTGTTTATACTTACATTGTGAATGTTCGCAGTTGTTTCCGCCAAAAGCAGGCTTGCATTTACATGTGTAGCTGTTACCCAAAATGTTGCATTGTCCACCATTTTTACATGGATTTGGCTCACAAGGATTTGGAACCTCTAAAATAAAACCCAAATACTATTTTTAAGATAATTTGTAAAAAAGGATTTTTTGTGTAAGAGTACATAAATCTATTTGTTAAAGAAGCATTTGCAAATAATGAGTTTTTGTTGAAAAATAGCTACATTACAATTTTTAGACACAATAATCTATTAATGATTTATGTAAGTGTACACTCATAAGACCAGTCAAATGTACTAGTTTATAGTTTCAAGTGGTATTAGAGTGTAAAAGACAGATTTATTAATTAAAACCACAGATGATGTGTGTTAGTTACCTGGTGTTACAATGAATCTAAAATATTCAGTTACTTGTTTTCTAGTTTCTTAAAAATTATAAATCTTAATATTTACTTGTTTCACAGTGAACACCAATAAAGTCTGGAGGGCATGTACATTTGTATGAACTACCATCAGCAACACACGAGCCACCATTCTTGCAAGAAGAATGATCACAAACTCCAACTATATCAAAAATACAATTTAGAAAAAAACTATGATTGACAAGTTATATTTTATTGATAGCAGTACTTTGTTAAGATACTGCAATTACATTTCCAAAACAGCTAGATACGTAATGGAAAACTTCTAAAACTCATCCACACAAAATGTTCGAATTACACAATAACAGCAAAATTATAGTTTTCTATTCTTGCAAAATAAGTCAATGTGCATGAAAATGAATCCTATTTTCAATAATCGTAAACTTTGTGTGAGTGGCTATATAAAGCATTCTATACCCCAATCTTAAGTTTACAAGATACTAAAATTCAATTCACTCAAAAATTTGTTCGTTTTATTTATTTAATATGGAAAGGAAATTTTTGTAATAACATTTCATTTCTAAAAACATGTGTGCTCTTTATTTATTTCAATGATCTTAAATACTAAAAATTTGAATGTTAAATAAAATAACTTTCAATGATTATTGGTATACTTGCAGTCGTTTTACTTTAGCATGGTAAATATTTATTCTCTCTAAAATATAGTTAGTGTGAAGGCTCAAAGGATTTTTTAAATCTTAGACGAAAAAACAAATAATAGCTTAAATAAAAGATTGACATGCTTCATATAATTTACCAAGCAATATCTGTCATTTGTAAACTCCCGCTAACATGTGCATTAATTTTTTTCTGTTTTGATTTGCGCAAAGGAACGAAAGAGTGCCGTATAAACACCATAAAAAACGGGTAAAAGTAAGGGACGATATGTACAAGTAACTTCTTTATAACCGACCCAAATACATTACAATTACATTAAAACATTTTAAAGCTTTTAAAAAATGAGCAATACTAAGCAAATAACAAAATCATTTCATGAACACCTAAGATTTGATCGTTGCCATATAGCATTTTATAATGTTATCATTAGAATATGTTGTTGTAAATCAGCTATTGTACAAAACTCATGAATGAACGAACCTTCACAAGTTTCGCCTTTAAAACCAGAAGCACATTCACACGAGAATTTATCTCCATTGTTTGTACAAGTACCGTTGTTTTTACAAGGACGTTTGTCGCAAGGTGTTGGTATTAACTCTGCAAGTGTAAAGACAAAAATTATAACGTTAGTAAAGAAAATGTAAATGTGAACTAAACATCTAACAACCCAACACTATATCCATTTCTTCTATATTTGAATACACTGAAAGAATGGAAAGTATACCATAGAAAAACTAAGTTAATGTAAATTTATTTTAATTTGCTAAATAATCATAACTCTTTTTCATATTAATAAAAGACACTTGCGTTATCATTTATATACTTTCAAATTTATGACTATCAAATAAACAAAATCATTAGGCCGTGGGCTATCCACTAAGATTGTATCATTTCCCTGCCACCATCCCAATGCTAAGATAACTTTGCGCTTTTCTATAGATTTTAAAATGCTGATCTCAAATATTCCCTCCTATTTGCCATAACCTAAACTTATTTAGTATACCACCATCGAAGTTACAATCTTTTTGTATAGGGCATCTTTTTTTTACAATAGCCATTTTAACATGAAGTTTACATATCCGATAGCATTGCAGATTGATAAACACTTTAACTGAATTTCCCATTCCTGTATTTGGTATTCTTCAAAAAATTGTCACCAAATTGCACCAAAAGTCAATTTTAGACAGGATACCCATATCCCATGGAAATGCCATTTAGTGTAATCTTGCAGTTTGGCAATGAGATGTATGTACACGTTATTTTAAGATCAATTAACGCTTTGCCTTAAATTGCCCCAGCTACAACTAAAGTGGTATTGTTTGATGAAAGAAAAAATTTTAGCAGTGTATTTGACACGGTTTCTTGAAGTAATACGTGTGTCAACTAGGTTATAAAAGCATAACCATTTCCAGCTATCCAAAAAAATAAGTATAACATCGATGATTCTTAGAGACTACCAAATCTATAAACCGTATAGCTTTGTTATACAGGTTTAATTAGATGACAAAAGTGCTTATTAAAAAACGCCAAATTTATAATCTTTTTTTATTATCAAATTAACATACACATATGAATTTGAAAATTTTCATACTTCAACGTTTTCTTTGCGATCAAAAACATTCTATGCGTATACTACCAGCACATTGCTAATCTGATATGCTTATGTTATAACAAGAAACCTATGACTTGTGCAACTGTTTCAGTCAAGTCGTACGTTTTAAGTGTATCATAACAAACCTTCACAAGTTTTTCCTCGATATCCGTTAATACAAATACAAGTAAACGTATCTCCTTCCTCAAGACAACCACCTTCATTTTTGCACGGGAAAGATTCACAAGGACCTATAAACGTATTTAGTTACTATACATGGCGTTTGTTTTAACTGGTTTCATACAAGAACATAATAAGGAAAAGGGTTGATCTAAATTAAAGAAACAACAAAATCTCAACGTGTAAGAAGAGGATGTTTCAAGGCTAATCGATAACAGTTTTTTTTTGAACAACATTTACATATGTTGAATTTACAACATTAAATCTCTTTTTTTGCGCCTTTTTACATTAATCTAATAAGTACAATTTTCTCTTTTTTAAAAACATTAACAAGTCAATGTTATTCTTACTTTTTGATGAGCATTTTCGGTCGTCGACACAAGTCATAGCACCCTTATTACACGTACTAAAAAAATGAAAAAGGAAAAAAAATATGTTGATCATAAGAAAGTATAGTAATAAAATAAATGGTTTAAATCCGGGAGTATCGCTCTTCATTTGTTGATGAAGATTATTCATGTTAGTAGAGTCCTGAGAAGGACTGTTGGTGTTAATTTTTACTGACGTCTCGACAACCTTAGCGGAAGACATCTTCATACACTGACAAACATGTAAAGTATAGTAACATAATGTTCCTACGAAAAGAAAATTACCAGGTTTTACAACGTCCAACTTTGACACTTTCACCCGCCTTGTAATAAATTCCTTCAAAGAAACATGGACATTTCTTCATAGGTACACAATGATTCTTATCGTCCAAGTAAGATCCTTTAGGACACTGGCATCCAGGAATGCATCTTTCACTGCATTTTAAACCACGTGATATATCACGACATGTTTTTGCACAAGCAGATCCGCATTCTGTGAAAATTTCTCCTTTGTTACTGCATGTTTTTTCTACATAAAAAACAATGAACGTTTAGTGAATATTTTATTAATATACCAAAAGTTAACTTTATGCCAAATTTTTCCACTTAAATGCTTACCACATTCTTTGAGTTTTGGATATAAATAAGTTCCTTTGAATCTCCAGTCAATTACACCGCCATATTCAACACAAAGTTTACTGTAAGCGGCAAAAGCGTTACAAACACATTTCGTTGGATCTGTGCAGCGACATGCGTCATATTTACAGTTACTGATCAAGGCGGCTGGATCAACATAACGGTTGCAAGCTTTGTGGAATGGAGATGAAGTATCGGACATCAAGTGGCACTTATCTATTACAGCTTTCTTCTTGGAATCAGGGAAACATGTTTGAGGTGGCAGGGAACATTTTGTACTGTATTGATTGTCATCATCTCGACGACCATTGTTATTGCCACATAGAGATGTGCTGCAAATCTTTCCCTTGTATTTTCCAGAAACGGTGACTTTGACGTAAGTTCTACTGTCCCAACTCGTTGACATTCCGATATCAGCAGTAAAAACCAGCCATCTCCCACTGGGATTGGTTATTTTAAATCCTTAAAGAAAACATTGTTGTATAGTAAAGGTAACAACATCTATTTATTTTAATGATCTCAAATAAATGACATCAAAATAGCTGCTTACTGACTGTCTTAACTTTCAAAATTTTTTGTATGAGTTTTCTGTTTATCATTAAGAAGACTAATTTAAATCAATTCAAAGAAATTTAAATAGAAACACATACCACGACGAACTATTGGAAATTGTGAAAGCCTAACTCCGTTTACAACTGCGGAACGACTCTGACGCGTGAACTGAATGAAGTAACCAGCTATATAGATCTTAACAGCCGCTGTACAAGTGACAAACCCTCCACATCGCGTATTTTTTGTGCGAACTGTAAAAAGTGGTTTTTTGCTGCAATCTTTAGCAAAGTCGTATTCACAATCTCCCATAAAATCAAATCTTTTGCCATCAAATGAAGTGTAATGAGGATCACCAGATGCAATGCATGTTGCTAAAGAATATATAAAAGTTTGTAGTGTGCAGTATTTTCAATTCCTAAATAATTCAGGATGGTAAAAAAAAGAGAGTGCGATGTTGGAGTTTGCAATATGAAGTGTTTCATTTACTTTGTATAATCGTATGAATAACAGATTTTTCCTTTTCGATATTTTGAAGAAAGCAGGTTTTTTTAAAAACTGCATACTCTATATTTGCTGCAGCGATTCGGTTAGAAATTTAAAAAAATTTACGGATTGAGCATTTTCTTTTAAGTTGATGTGTGAATTTCAAACGAACACACTGTTTTCTGTATTTTGCATTCCACACTATTTGCCCTGCACCTTTTCCACTATGCCAGTTAAGCATTATTATAAAGACAATAAATGCTTTAAAAAAACAACAAGGAAGCCTGCAGAGCGAAGATAATTTAATCAGGCTTTGACATTGAATTTGTTAAATGCAATTTTGACAAACAAATTGAATTTGGAATCGCTGGTGATTTTTTGAACTGCGTAGCTAAAAATGAAATTTCTGGTGTTTATACTTACATTGTGAATGTTCGCAGTTGTTGCCGCCAAAAGCAGGCTTGCATTTACATGTGTAGCTGTTACCCAAAATGTTGCATTGTCCACCATTTTTACATGGATTTGGCTCACAAGGATTTGGAACCTCTAAAATAAAACCCAAATACTATTTTTAAGATAATTTTTAAAAAGAGATTTTTTTTATTGGAGTACATAAATCTATTTGTTAAAGAAGCATTTGCAAATAATGAGTTTTTGTTGAAAAATAACTACATAACACTTTTTAGACACAATAATGTATTAATGATTTATGTAATTGTACATTCATAAGACCAGTCAAATGTACTAGTTTATAGTTTCAAGTGGTATTAGAGTTTAAAAGACAGGTTTATTAATTCAAGCCACAGATGATGTGTGTTAGTTACCTGGTGTTACAATGAATCTAAAATATTCTGTTACTTGTTTTTTTAATTTTTAAAAATTATAAATCTTAATATTTACTTGTTTCACAGTGAACACCAATAAAGTCTGGAGGGCATGTACATTTGTATGAACTACCATCAGCAACACACGAGCCACCATTCTTGCAAGAAGAATGATCACAAACTCCAACTATATCAAAAATACAATTTAGAAAAAAACTATGGTTGACAAATTATATTTTTATTGATAGCAGTACTTTGTTAAGATACTGTAATTACATTTCCAAAACAGCTAGATACGTAATAGAAAACTTCTAGAACTAATCCAAACAAAATGTTCGAATTACACCATAACAGCAAAATTATAGTTTTCTATTCTTGCAAAATAAGTCATTGTGCATGAAAATGATTGTTATTTTCAATAATCGTAAACTTTGTGTGAGTTGCTATATAAAGCATTCTATGTCCCAATCTTAAGTTTACAAGATACTCAAATTCATTAAAACTCAAAAATTTGTTCGTTTTATTTATTTAATATGGAAAGGAAATTTTTGTAATAACATTTCATTTCTAAAAACATGTGTGCTCTTTATTTATTTCAATGATCTTAAATACTAAAAATTTGAATGTTAAATAAAATAACTTTCAATGATTATTGGTATACTTGCAGTCGTTTTACTTTAGCATGGTAAATATTTATTCTCTCTAAAATATAGTTAGTGTGAAGGCTCAAGTAATTTTTTAAATCTTAGACGAAAAAACAAATAATAGCTTAAATAAAAGATTGACATGCTTCAAATAATTTACCAAGCAATATCTGTCATTTGTAAACTCCCGCTAACATGTGCATTAATTTTTTTCTGTTTTGATTTGCGCAAAGGAACGAAAGAGTGCCGTATAAACACCATAAAAAAACGGGTAAAAGTAAGGGACGATATGTACAAGTAACTTCTTAATAACCGAGCAAAAATACATTACAATTACATTAAAACATTTTAAAGCTTTTAAAAAATGAGCAATACTAAGCAAATAACAAAATCATTTCATGAACATCTAAGATTTGATCGTTGCCATATAGCATTTTATAATGTTAACATTAGAATATGTTAATGTAAATCAGCTATTGTACAAAACTCATGAATGAACGAACCTTCACAAGTTTCGCCTTTAAAACCAGAAGCACATTCACAAGAGAATTTTTCTCCATTGTTTGTACAAGTACCGTTGTTTTTACAAGGACGTTTGTCGCAAGGTGTTGGTATTAACTCTGCAAGTGTAAAGACAAAAATTATAACGTTAGTAAAGAAAATGTAAATGTGAACTAAACATCTAACAACCCAACACAATATCCATTTCTTCTATATTTGAATACACTGAAAGAATGGAAAGTATACCATAGAAAAACTAAGTTAATGTAAATTTATTTTAATTTGCTAAATAATCATAACTCTTTTTCATATTAATAAAAGACACTTGCGTTATCATTTATATACTTTCAAATTTATGACTATCAAATAAACAAAATCATTAGGCCGTGGGCTATCCACTAAGATTGTATCATTTCCCTGCCACCATCCCAATGCTAAGATAACTTTGCGCTTTTCTATAGATTTTAAAATGCTGATCTCAAATATTCCCTCCTATTTGCCATAACCTAAACTTATTTAGTATACCACCATCGAAGTTACAATCTTTTTGTATAGGGCATCTTTTTTTTACAATAGCCATTTTAACATGAAGTTTACATATCCGATAGCATTGCAGATTGATAAACACTTTAACTGAATTTCCCATTCCTGTATTTGGTATTCTTCAAAAAATTGTCACCAAATTGCACCAAAAGTCAATTTTAGACAGGATACCCATATCCCATGGAAATGCCATTTAGTGTAATCTTGCAGTTTGGCAATGAGATGTATGTACACGTTATTTTAAGATCAATTAACGCTTTGCCTTAAATTGCCCCAGCTACAACTAAAGTGGTATTGTTTGATGAAAGAAAAAATTTTAGCAGTGTATTTGACACGGTTTCTTGAAGTAATACGTGTGTCAACTAGGTTATAAAAGCATAACCATTTCCAGCTATCCAAAAAATAAGTATAACATCGATGATTTTTAGAGACTACCAAATCTATAAACCGTATAGCTTTGTTATACAGGTTTAATTAGATGACAAAAGTGCTTATTAAAAAACGCCAAATTGATAATCTTTTTTTATTATCAAATTAACATACACATATGAATTTGAAAATTTTCATACTTCAACGTTTTCTTTGCGATCAAAAACATTCCATGCGTATACTACCAGCTCATTGCTAATCTGATATGCTTATGTTATAACAAGAAACCTATGACTTGTGCAACTGTTTCAGTCAAGTCGTACGTTTTAAGTGTATCATAACAAACCTTCACAAGTTTTTCCTCGATATCCGTTAATACAAATACAAGTAAACGTATCTCCTTCCTCAAGACAACCACCTTCATTTTTGCAGGGGAAAGATTCACAAGGACCTATAAAAGTATTTAGTTACTATACATGGCGTTTGTTTTAACTGGTTTCATACAAGAACTTAATAAGGAAAAGGGTTGATGTAAATTAAAGAAACAACAAAATCTCAACGTGTAAGAAGAGGATGTTTCAAGGCTAATCGATAACAGTTTTTTTTTGAACAACATTTACATATGTTGAATTTACAACATTAAATCTCTTTTTTTGCGCCTTTTTACATTAATCTAATAAGTACAATTTTCTCTTTTTTAAAAACATTAACAAGTCAATGTTATTCTTACTTTTTGATGAGCATTTTCGGTCGTCGACACAAGTCATAGCACCCTTATTACACGTACTAAAAAAATGAAAAAGGAAAAAAAATATGTTGATCATAAGAAAGTATAGTAATAAAATAAATGGTTTGAATCCGGGAGTATCGCTCTTTATTTGTTGATGAAGATTATTCAGGTTAGTAGAGTCCTGAGAAGGACTGTTGGTGTTAATTTTTACTGACGTCTCGACAACCTTAGCGGAAGACATCTTCATACACTGACAAACATGTAAAGTATAGTAACATAATGTTCCTACGAAAAGAAAATTACCAGGTTTTACAACGTCCAACTTTGACACTTTCACCCGCCTTGTAATAAATTCCTTCAAAGAAACATGGACATTTCTTCATAGGTACACAATGATTCTTATCGTCCAAGTAAGATCCTTTAGGACACTGGCATCCAGGAATGCATCTTTCACTGCATTTTAAACCACGTGATATATCACGACATGTTTTGCACAAGCAGATCCGCATTCTGTGAAAATTTCTCCTTTGTTACTGCATGTTTTTTCTACATAAAAAACAATGAACGTTTAGTGAATATTTTATTAATATACCAAAAGTTAACTTTATGCCAAATTTTTCCACTTAAATGCTTACCACATTCTTTGAGTTTTGGATATAAATAAGTTCCTTTGAATCTCCAGTCAATTACACCGCCATATTCAACACAAAGTTTACTGTAAGCGGCAAAAGCGTTACAAACACATTTCGTTGGATCTGTGCAGCGACATGCGTCATATTTACAGTTACTGATCAAGGCGGCTGGATCAACATAACGGTTGCAAGCTTTGTGGAATGGAGATGAAGTATCGGACATCAAGTGGCACTTATCTATTACAGCTTTCTTCTTGGAATCAGGGAAACATGTTTGAGGTGGCAGGGAACATTTTGTACTGTATTGATTGTCATCATCTCGACGACCATTGTTATTGCCACATAGAGATGTGCTGCAAATCTTTCCCTTGTATTTTCCAGAAACGGTGACTTTGACGTAAGTTCTACTGTCCCAACTCGTTGACATTCCGATATCAGCAGTAAAAACCAGCCATCTCCCACTGGGATTGGTTATTTTAAATCCTTAAAGAAAACATTGTTGTATAGTAAAGGTAACAACATCTATTTATTTTAATGATCTCAAATAAATGACATCAAAATAGCTGCTTACTGACTGTCTTAACTTTCAAAATTTTTTGTATGAGTTTTCTGTTTATCATTAAGAAGACTAATTTAAATCAATTCAAAGAAATTTAAATAGAAACACATACCACGACGAACTATTGGAAATTGTGAAAGCCTAACTCCGTTTACAACTGCGGAACGACTCTGACGCGTGAACTGAATGAAGTAACCAGCTATATAGATCTTAACAGCCGCTGTACAAGTGACAAACCCTCCACATCGCGTATTTTTTGTGCGAACTGTAAAAAGTGGTTTTTTGCTGCAATCTTTAGCAAAGTCGTATTCACAATCTCCCATAAAATCAAATCTTTTGCCATCAAATGAAGTGTAATGAGGATCACCAGATGCAATGCATGTTGCTAAAGAATATATAAAAGTTTGTAGTGTGCAGTATTTTCAATTCCTAAATAATTCAGGATGGTAAAAAAAAGAGAGTGCGATGTTGGAGTTTGCAATATGAAGTGTTTCATTTACTTTGTATAATCGTATGAATAACAGATTTTTCCTTTTCGATATTTTGAAGAAAGCAGGTTTTTTTAAAAACTGCATACTCTATATTTGCTGCAGCGATTCGGTTAGAAATTTAAAAATTTACGGATTGAGCATTTTCTTTTAAGTTGATGTGTGAATTTCAAACGAACACACTGTTTTCTGTATTTTGCATTCCACACTATTTGCCCTGCACCTTTTCCACTATGCCAGTTAAGCATTATTATAAAGACAATAAATGCTTTAAAAAAACAACAAGGAAGCCTGCAGAGCGAAGATAATTTAATCAGGCTTTGACATTGAATTTGTTAAATGCAATTTTGACAAACAAATTGAATTTGGAATCGCTGGTGATTTTTTGAACTGCGTAGCTAAAAATGAAATTTCTGGTGTTTATACTTACATTGTGAATGTTCGCAGTTGTTGCCGCCAAAAGCAGGCTTGCATTTACATGTGTAGCTGTTACCCAAAATGTTGCATTGTCCACCATTTTTACATGGATTTGGCTCACAAGGATTTGGAACCTCTAAAATAAAACCCAAATACTATTTTTAAGATAATTTTTAAAAAGAGATTTTTTTTATTGGAGTACATAAATCTATTTGTTAAAGAAGCATTTGCAAATAATGAGTTTTTGTTGAAAAATAACTACATAACACTTTTTAGACACAATAATGTATTAATGATTTATGTAATTGTACATTCATAAGACCAGTCAAATGTACTAGTTTATAGTTTCAAGTGGTATTAGAGTTTAAAAGACAGGTTTATTAATTCAAGCCACAGATGATGTGTGTTAGTTACCTGGTGTTACAATGAATCTAAAATATTCTGTTACTTGTTTTTTTAATTTTTAAAAATTATAAATCTTAATATTTACTTGTTTCACAGTGAACACCAATAAAGTCTGGAGGGCATGTACATTTGTATGAACTACCATCAGCAACACACGAGCCACCATTCTTGCAAGAAGAATGATCACAAACTCCAACTATATCAAAAATACAATTTAGAAAAAACCATGGTTGACAAATTATATTTTTATTGATAGCAGTACTTTGTTAAGATACTGTAATTACATTTCCAAAACAGCTAGATACGTAATAGAAAACTTCTAGAACTAATCCAAACAAAATGTTCGAATTACACCATAACAGCAAAATTATAGTTTTCTATTCTTGCAAAATAAGTCATTGTGCATGAAAATGATTGTTATTTTCAATAATCGTAAACTTTGTGTGAGTTGCTATATAAAGCATTCTATGTCCCAATCTTAAGTTTACAAGATACTCAAATTCATTAAAACTCAAAAATTTGTTCGTTTTATTTATTTAATATGGAAAGGAAATTTTTGTAATAACATTTCATTTCTAAAAACATGTGTGCTCTTTATTTATTTCAATGATCTTAAATACTAAAAATTTGAATGTTAAATAAAATAACTTTCAATGATTATTGGTATACTTGCAGTCGTTTTACTTTAGCATGGTAAATATTTATTCTCTCTAAAATATAGTTAGTGTGAAGGCTCAAGTAATTTTTTAAATCTTAGACGAAAAAACAAATAATAGCTTAAATAAAAGATTGACATGCTTCAAATAATTTACCAAGCAATATCTGTCATTTGTAAACTCCCGCTAACATGTGCATTAATTTTTTTCTGTTTTGATTTGCGCAAAGGAACGAAAGAGTGCCGTATAAACACCATAAAAAACGGGTAAAAGTAAGGGACGATATGTACAAGTAACTTCTTAATAACCGAGCAAAAATACATTACAATTACATTAAAACATTTTAAAGCTTTTAAAAAATGAGCAATACTAAGCAAATAACAAAATCATTTCATGAACATCTAAGATTTGATCGTTGCCATATAGCATTTTATAATGTTAACATTAGAATATGTTAATGTAAATCAGCTATTGTACAAAACTCATGAATGAACGAACCTTCACAAGTTTCGCCTTTAAAACCAGAAGCACATTCACAAGAGAATTTTTCTCCATTGTTTGTACAAGTACCGTTGTTTTTACAAGGACGTTTGTCGCAAGGTGTTGGTATTAACTCTGCAAGTGTAAAGACAAAAATTATAACGTTAGTAAAGAAAATGTAAATGTGAACTAAACATCTAACAACCCAACACAATATCCATTTCTTCTATATTTGAATACACTGAAAGAATGGAAAGTATACCATAGAAAAACTAAGTTAATGTAAATTTATTTTAATTTGCTAAATAATCATAACTCTTTTTCATATTAATAAAAGACACTTGCGTTATCATTTATATACTTTCAAATTTATGACTATCAAATAAACAAAATCATTAGGCCGTGGGCTATCCACTAAGATTGTATCATTTCCCTGCCACCATCCCAATGCTAAGATAACTTTGCGCTTTTCTATAGATTTTAAAATGCTGATCTCAAATATTCCCTCCTATTTGCCATAACCTAAACTTATTTAGTATACCACCATCGAAGTTACAATCTTTTTGTATAGGGCATCTTTTTTTTACAATAGCCATTTTAACATGAAGTTTACATATCCGATAGCATTGAGAACTGATAAACACTTTAAGCTGAATTTCCCATTCCTGTATTTGGTATGCTTCAAAAAATTGTCACCAAATTGCACCAAAAGTCAATTTTAGACAGCATACCCATATCCCATGAAAATGCCATTTAGTGTAATCTTGCAGTTTGGAAATGAGATGTATGTACACGTTAATTTAAGATCAATTAACGTTTTGCCTTTAATTGCCCCAGCTACAATTAAAGTGGTATTTTTTGATGAAAGCAAAAATTTTAGCAGTGTATTTGACACGGTTTCTTGAAGTAATACGTGTCAACTAGGTTATAAAAACACAACCATTTCCAGCTATCCAAAAAATAAGTATAACCTCGATGATTCTTAGGGACTACTAAATCTATAAACCGTATAGCTTTGTTACACAGGTTTAATTAGATCACAAAAGTGCTTATTAACAAACACCTAATTTATAATCTTTTTTTCTTATCAAATTAACATACTCATATGAGATTTGAAAACTTTCATACTTCAACGTTTTCTTTGAAATCAAAAACAATCCATGCGTATACTACCAGCTCATTGCCAATCTGATATGTTTATGTTATAATAAGAAACCTGTAACTTGTGTTGTTGTTTCAGTCAAGTCTTAAGTTTTAAGTGTATCATAACAAACCTTCACAAGTTTTTCCTTTATATCCGTTAATACAAAGACAAGTAAACGTATCTCCTTCCTCAAGACAACCACCTTCATTTTTGCACGGGAAAGATTCACAAGGACCTATAAACATATTTAGTTACTATACATGGCGTTTGTTTTAACAGGTTTCATACAAGAACTTAATAAGGAAAAGGGTTGATCTAAATTAAAGAAACAACAAAATCTCAACGTGTAAGAAGAGGATGTTTATACGGCTAATCGATAAAAGTTTTTTTTTGACAACATTTACCAATAAAGTAAATGGTTTGAACCCGGGAGTATCGTTATATGTTTGTAAATGATGATCGTCCAGGTTAATAAAGTTCTGAGAAGGACTGTTTTTGTTGTTGTTGACTAACGTTTCTACAACCTTAGAGGTAGTCATCTTCAGAGTCAAATGCAGTCCAAAAACAAAAACAGTCTTTCTCAGGACTTTATTAACCTGGACGATCATCATTTACAAACATATAACATTTACATATGTTGAATTTACAACATAAAATTTCTTTTTGCACCTTTTTACTTTAATCTAATAAGTACAATTTTCTCTTTTTTTAAAACATTAACAAGTCAATGTTATTCTTACTTTTTGATGAGCATTTTCGATCGTCGACACAGGTCATAGCACCCTTATTACATGTACTAAAAAAATGAAAGCAAAAAAATATTGCGTTGATCATAAGAAAGTATAGTAATAAAATAAATGGATTGAATCCTGGAGTATCGCTCTTCACTTGTTTGATGAAGATCATCCAGGATAGTAGACTTCTGAGAAGGACTGTTGGTGTTAACGTTTACTGACGTCTCGACAACCTTAGCGGAAGACATCTTCATACACTGACAAACATGTAAAGTATAGTAACATAATGTTCCTACGAAAAGAAAATTACCAGGTTTTACAACGTCCAACTTTGACACTTTCACCCGCCTTGTAATAAATTCCTTCAAAGAAACATGGACATTTCTTCATAGGTACACAATGATTCTTATCGTCCAAGTAAGATCCTTTAGGACACTGACATCCAGGAATGCATCTTTCACTGCATTTTAAACCACGTGATATATCACGACATGTTTTGCACAAGCAGATCCGCATTCTGTGAAAATTTCTCCTTTGTTACTGCATGTTTTTCTACATAAAAACAATGAACGTTTAGTGAATATTTTATTAATATACCAACAATTAACTTTATGCCAAATTTTTCCACTTCTTACCACATTCTTTGAGTTTTGGATATAAGTAAGTTCCTTTGAATCTCCAGTCAATTACACCGCCATATTCAACACAAAGTTTACTGTAAGCAGCAAAAGCGTTACAAACACATTTCGTTGGATCTGTGCAGCGACATGCGTCATATTTACAGTTACTGATCAAGGCGGCTGGATCAACATAACGGTTGCAAGCTTTGTGGAATGGAGAAGACGTATCGGACATCAAGTGGCATTTATCTATTACAGCTTTCTTCTTGGAATCAGGGAAACATGTTTGAGGTGGCAGGGAACATTTTGTACTGTATTGATTGTCGTCATCTCGACGACCATTGTTATTGCCACATAGAGATGTGCTGCAAATCTTTCCCTTGTATTTTCCAGAAACGGTGACTTTGACGTAATATCTACTGTCCCAACTCGTTGACATTCCGATATCAGCAGTAAAAACCAGCCAACTCCCACTGGGATTGGTGATTTTAAATCCTTAAAGAAAACATTGTTGTATAGTAAAGGTAACAACATCTATTTATTTTAATGATCTCAAATAAATGACATCAAAATAGCTGCTTACTGACTGTCTTAACTTTCAAATTTTTTTGTATGAGTTTTCTGTTTATCATTAAGAAGACTAATTTAAATCAATTCAAATAAATTAAAATAGAAACACATACCACGACGAACTATTGGAAATTGTGAAAGCCTAACTCCGTTTACAACTGCGGAACGACTCTGACGCGTGAACTGAATGAAGTAACCAGCTATATAGATCTTAACAGCCGCTGTACAAGTGACAAACCCTCCACAACGCGTATTTTTAGTGCGAACTGTAAAAAGTGATTTTTTGCTGCAATCTTTAGCGAAGTCGTATTCACAATCTCCCATAAAATCAAATCTTTTGCCATCAAATGAAGTGTAATGAGGATCACCAGATGCAATGCATGTTGCTAAAGAATATATATAAGTTTGTAGTGTGCAGTATTTTCAATTCCTATAGTTAAATAATTCAGCATGGTAAAAAAAAGAGAGTGCGATGTTGGAGTTTGCAATATGTGTTTCATTTACTTTGTATAATAGTATGAATAACAGATTTTTCCTTTTCGATATTTTGAAGAAAGCAGGTTTTTTTAAAAACTGCATAGTCTATATTTGCTGCAGCGACTCGGTTAGAAATTAAAAAAAAAATTACGGATTGAACATTTCCTTTTAAGTTGATGTGTGAATTTTCAACGAAAACACTGTTTTCTGTATTTTGCATTCCACACTATTTGCCCTGCACCTTTTCCACTATGCCAGTTAAGCATTATTATAAAGACAATAAATGCTTTAAAAAAACAACAAGGAAGCCTGCAGAGCGAAGATAATTTAATCAGGCTTTGACATTGAATTTGTTAAATGCAATTTTGACAAACAAATTGAATTTGGAATCGCTGGTGATTTTTTGAACTGCGTAGCTAAAAATGAAATTTCTGGTGTTTATACTTACATTGTGAATGTTCGCAGTTGTTGCCGCCAAAAGCAGGTTTGCATTTACATGTGTAGCTGTTACCCAAAATGTTGCATTGTCCACCATTTTTACATGGATTTGGCTCACAAGGATTTGGAACCTCTAAAATAAATCCCAAATACTATTTTTAAGATAATTTTTAAAAAATGATTTTTTGTGTTAGAGTACGCAAATCTATTTGCTGAAAGTGCAGTTACGAAAAATTGGTTATTGTTGAAAAATACCAAATTTATAATAATTCGACACGATATTGTATAAACGTGAAACCGGTCAAATGTACTAGTTTTTAGTAAAACATGATACTATAGTAGAAAACTTCAGGTTTAATATTTTAAGCCATATATAATGTGTGTTTGATACGTAGTGCAGTCAAACGTACACCGATATAAACATTTTTATTGAACAAGCTTTGGCTGTCTGTCTACAGCCTTCGACGGAGGCTAACACGTCAAAGTCTGTACACAGACACACGAAAGCTTGTTCAATAAAAAACTTTATATATTATCCTCATATATAATCACGCATTTTTTCGTGTTACGTAGTGTTACAATGAATTTAAGATTTCCAATTACTTGTTTCACAGCGAATACCAATAAAGTCTGGAGGGCAAGTACAATTGTATGAACTACCATCAACAACACACGAACCACCATTCTTACAAGGACTATGATCACAAACTCCAACTATATCAAAAATATATTTTAGAAAAAATTCATCTGACAAATTTTGAGCTATAAGTATTATTAGTAATATGCAATGGAACGGCGAATATAATTTCGGGTAACACTGATTATGTTAAAATTAAAAACCTTTATTTTTTGTAATTTTAATTGACAGAAAATATTGAAAACAACACCATATATCGCGATTTTTTTTACAAAAAATGCATGCAAGTATTCGAACACGTTTAAATTAAAATCACACTAAATATTTTAATAAAACAAAAACAAGGAAATTATTATTTTCAATTGTTGCATAAGTCACTGAACATGGAAATAATAAAGTGATTTTCATTAATTGTAAATTTTAAGTATGTGGCTGTGTATAATGGACTTGCTCACCAAAATTAGGCTTAAATGAAACGAAAGTTCGTTTTATTAAATATTTCTCTTTTAATTTATTTTTCATCGTACTGAACTTTTGAAGCCAATAACGGTTGATTTTCTAAAACATATGTGTTGTTTCTTAATTGTAAAGTTCATTATACAACAGAAATTTTTTTATATTTAATCATAAAACTCTGAATAACTATTTGTATATTTGCAGCTTTTTTTATATATTTTCGTTCTACAATATGATAAGTAGCTATAAAGGCGATAGGACTTTGTCTTAACCTGATTAAAAAAGAATTAGTTTTTGTGATTCTTACCACTCCACATTTTACAGCATTTAAAACTGTCGATGTCCTTTAGCCAATTCCCAGAATCTCGTCTTAACCCAGTGACGTAGTAACCATCTTTTTTACACACTGTCCATCCTTTTTTGTTGAAATCATTCTTGATATTTTCATGATAACAATCATTATACTTGTCGGGATGATTGACTGGTTTGCAACATTTTCCCTCTTCGAGGTTGTGTAAGTGGTTTCCCTTTGAGCGATAGAGACCGTTTAGAAAATATCCATTTGAACAAACACTCCATCCTTTTCTGAAATACATTTTTAAGGAAATACGTTTCTATCTTTATTTTTTTGAGGACTGGATGACACACAGAGGACTGCATTTACTATTTTTTGTCGTTTTTTTATTGTTGTTCAGCATTTAGAGTTAAACAGCTTATCCTGCTTATTTTTCCATATTATTTTTATATTTATGTATACAGTCTTAAATAAGTCAATTTAATTACGTAAATCTTCACTAGAAAAGTGTTGCTACACAAGTTAAAATGTAGCTAGCTACGAGCACATGGAAAACCAACCGACGAAAGATCGTAAAAAGTTTTTTCACTAAATTAAAGGACAACTTTCAAGACATTGCACCTTGTTTTTAATTGAAAAGCTGTTTAAGTTGCCACGTTTAGAGGCTAAGAATGATTCGGCTATCGGTTGCTACTAATACCATCAGTGTCCACAATTAGGTAACAAAAGCATAAAAGTACAAAACTTAAGAAAAATCAAAATTGAAAGTGAGAATAGTAAGCAGTATCCTGGATCAAACTTTGAAAAAACCTGTAAATACTGGTACGCATTTTTTTACGTTAAGCTAAACAATCACAAAAGTTCATCATTTTAAATCATAGTGCAAGTAATGTATCCAAACTTCTTACGTTTTCTTCATTTTCTCAGTAGAAAGAACTGAGAAAATGAACCAAGAGACAATTAATATCAGTTAAAAGATTGATTCTGGGGAAAAAGACTAACTTGTTGAAAGAGTCCCTCCAGTTAGCATTTTGGCAAGTACTTTTCTGTCCAATATATATTGGACTAGATTTGCAGCATTTGGCTTCTTCAAGACGGTAAAGTCCGTCATAGTTGTCACATAACGTGTTGCGATAAAAGCCAGTGATAAACTGGTTTGTGGTTTTACAAGTTGACCATCCTTGTTTGTCGAAAGATAACCACCAATTTGATTTCACACAGACTGGTTTAACGTTGACTAAAATAAATAACGTAATTTATATTTAAAAATGAAGGGACAAAGCAATAATTCATTAAAGAAGTTTTTATTGTGACTAAAAATAAAATTCTTGAAGAAACATTATTATTTGACAATATTCTTTGGTTGCATACAGAATGGAGGTAAAAAATAATCATATATTATGCGATTATGTGCATAAGTAGCTTTGAATCGGTTTTGAGGGTCATTAAACTAGTGCCGTTGCCAAGTGATCACAACTGGGGGAAGGGGGGGGGGTTGGGTTGAATATTAAATTGCAGAGTGGAAACATCGTAATATGCCGATATATTGTAAAGACAAGTACATCAAAAAACTCATTTTTATTTCGTTTTATTGCTTAACTTATTATAGGAGACATGATTGTTCTAAAAAACGTAATAAAAGCCATAGCTAATTTTTTTCTAATTTTCTATAAAAACTGAATACCAATTTAAAACCGCCCCATAAAACTCGATTGTATATTTCTAACAGGGAAATATGCTATACACTGAACGAAAATAACGATTTCCGCCGGGCTTCTGAGTAATTTAAGAGGGTGATATGAATATCTCGAGAGATTCCGAGATCATGCGCTTGACAATCAATAATATTCATTTATGCGCATATAACAATCGGCAATAGTCAAATAGTAAGTGCATCCAATAAAGTCATTAAGATGAAGCACACAAAAATTTAAATTTAAGCATATTTTGTATAACAGAGAAGTGCAGTATTACAGTTAGAAAAGAGTAGCTACCTGCGCCGTAGTATTTCTGATGGGAAAAACGTCTTTCGTACATAGTATATACATGTTACACATTCTTAATTTGCAATGGTAATTTTATATAACTTGACCATTTCCAGCTGTAAACTAACCAAAGTGTTCGTCAGTATAGTCACAGGAGTTTAGTGAAGTCCAATCGAAAAAAGCTGCTGCAATAACGATTCTATTCATAAGAGGCTAACACAATTCACACGTAAATCGCTAAACTCATGCTCAAACTAAATTTATACAAGCTTTAGAATGTATATAAAAAAAGAAATTTGTCTATCTTATATAGTGGAATTATTACTTGCACACATCGTGGAAGGTGTGCTAGCAAACAGCATCAACTAGAATATTCAGCTACAAGTAACATAAAAGAGACAAAGAAATGTTTATCTTTCACCAACTATTAACCTTCAAAGCACAATATCAATAAAGGAACTGTGTTGGTATGAGAAAACTTTATTCAGTTTGACCAAGAGATATTTCTCAAAATAGGAAAAACACTTTGTTTTTCAATTTTTGCGCAATACTGGTTGCTAAATGGGAAAAAAATTTTGCTTACTTGATCTTCTCCACCACGCATCAGCAGGTAATGTCTACAAAATTATAATGTATGTCTTATTTTTGCATATAATTGTCTGAGTAGTAATTTAACGAGACGCGTGCTTAAGATTTTACTCCGATTCGAGATATGACTTATGACAAAAAATCCAAATTACTCCTGCTAGAAGAAACAAGAATGAAAAGGAACGTTGCATTCAAGAATGATTGATTGGTGACCATTCAGTCATTCGACCAGGCATGTTTCAATGAGAAAAGAGCCAAACAATATGATTCCAATGCAATCGCACGAAAGCTTTGTCATGTTTTCCTCATGGCAATAATCACAGCAATAAAGCTTAAAATTTTATTCTACTTCATCCCCTCCTGTACCTTTAACACGAGCAAACTAGAAGATACTATAGTGCCATAAATATCAGAGTTTGTCGCACTTGTATCGGACTTCGTCAAACAAAGTTGCGGGCCTTTATGTGGTATCTAATCCTCCAATTGTAATTTTGGTCTCTTGATTGATGACCTTTTCGTTCCTTACACTTCTTTGCTTTTGCATTTTCCTGCCTGTGTTAGCAACTCAACAAGCAAACAACAAAGGAAACGCTTAAAGTCCAAACTGGGAGTGTCGCGCACCTTGCAGTTTTCAAGAGCATAAAGATTTAAATCAAGCACATTTACCTAGACTCAAACAGCAAAAACTAAATAGGAGAAGTATGTTATAACTACTAAAAGAAGCCCATGCCTTTAGGCATATGATGGCTTGTCCTACTGAGTTCTAATGTCGTCAAATAAAATATAGTATTTTATCACATCATGATAAAATAAAAAAAACTGAACGATACGTAATATTTGCTACATGTGATGCATTATATATTTAAACTACAATAGTCACGCTTGTAAAATATACTGTTGCTGCTTACCATTACGACCAGAACTGCTAACACGATGCATGTACTCAACTTCATCATATTGATTTAATGGAGCAATATTTCGTGAGGTTGATAAGTGGCCAGATTGAACAACGAATGAATTGAAATATGATAAGATATCGCTGACGTTTTATAGTGACCGTTTAACACCTCACTGCTCTGCTCTTAACCAATCAGAATTGAGAAACTGTTTCATGTATATTATTATAATAAAAAGTTATAAACAATCGAATATTATGGGAAATTCATTAACAGAGTTTAATTAAATAATCTGAAAGTCTAGAAGTATATAATGTCGATGCAAAGAATTAGCTGTATGTTATTTTATAAATTAGTGATCAATCTTATTTTATTAGAATGTTAGCTTTTGAAGACCATATGCTTTCAAAACGTTGTAATAACGCTGGAATGTGTCACAGTTCGCTAATTCTGTATTATAGAATTTGCATAATTTCACAGTTAAAATAATAAACAATATAGCTCTTATATGTTGTGTCACGTCTTAGCTGTTACGCATGTGACAAATGGCAGCCAGCCAGTCTGTTGCAGTTTCAGACAAAGAGGGATGCTAAGATGTTTAACCCCAAACAGCAAGTGCGGAAACTCTGCGATAGTGGCCTTTATGGATGTGAAACAGTTCTATTAAAATAGAATACAAATAACTAGCTCAATACTTGCATGTAAGATATAAAAGTTGCTTGTGTATATACCTATGAAAAAGAATTTCTGTCGTTTCGAAAAAAACATTTTGTGATAAGGAGAAGCATTTTGACGGAAGTTTGTCATGACTGTGCCATGACTTTACATAAAGCTTTGAGCGGCAATTGACTATATGACGCCAACACAAGCCGCTGACATATTTCTGCTCTCACGCACCGGATGCCCTAGCTGCAGCATTTTAACTCATTTTTTGTGAAAATATTGAATCAAACAAACAAAAAAATTGCTGAATTGATGCACATTCCCCATCTGCGGAAACATCATTTACAATACATGAAATATATAGTCACAGTTAAAACCTGTGCCTTTCGCAATAAGTATTTATTTTTATCTTTGTTGCTAGATCATTTGACAAACCCAAGCATTCATGACATTTAAAGGACACATGCAATCTAGAAGACAACTTTAATTTATTGTAATGCCTATAGCGTGAAAATAAGACGTACCAAGTTTCAAAGTCGTCCGCAAAATATTTTAAAAGATATTTAGGGTTATAATCGGTAAAAACACGATATTCGATGACCATTGCTAAAACGCCATGAGATTGTTTAAGTCTGAGAACTTGGAAAGAGTGACGTATTAGTTGACATAAACAAGCATCGTTCTTATATCGTTCTACGACTTGCACGTTTTTCGGAAGTTAGCTATTAAGGTAGTTTGCTACCTAATCGTATTCTTCTGAAGAAGAAGCCGATTATAAAATTGTCATCAATAACAATGAGGTACAACCTTACATGTTTGAGCCTTTGGCCAACGCGCAAGGTGGTCATAATGATGACAATTTTTCGTCATCGGAAAGCGAAGATGAATACATTCACAGAATTGGAAATGTTGAATGGTTAGTTGCATTTTATTTATTAAAACGAGATTTATGTTGCTTAATGGCTTCAGCTTTGCTGATTTTTGATTTGTGGCCAGTCAATGGGACAGGTATTTCTTTCACTCCAGCGACATAAAGAGCTTTGGACAGTGTTGGATTAATGCGTCTGCAGTAGTACAAAAGTTCTTTCATCAAGTCCTTAACATATCCTGAAAAGCAAATCATTATTTATGTTGGCTTTGCATTGCACTTTGAGAAAAGGTAAGTTTATTTTTCTGTGCTAACCATAAGTGCTATCAACTTTCACTGGTTTGATGACCCCTTGTCCTTCCTTTGACTTTGAATAAGCCACTCTCCTAATCGATGCCTCTTCTGTTTGCCCACCATTCTTCGTTTTCTGAACGTTGTTTCCATTCTCATTGAAATGAAGAGCGGCAATAAACAATCTACAAATGAATGTTAAGTTTATGTTTACAACTATTGCAACTTACTGCTTTTGCAATGATGACTTTTTTAAGTAATCATACACAAGTCATAATTATATTACCTTGCTTCCATTGATCTGTAGAAAAAATGGGTATGTTTTGGTGCAGAAAGAATCACCACTTGGTGGAAACCTTCGATGAATGAAGTCTGCTTCTGATAACTGAGTTTTCCAATATCTTTCATGAGATACTTGGACTCAACAATCGAAGACAGCTCAACATAAGCTTTTGAACCTAAGATTAGAAGTTAGTTAACAAAAAAAAAGAATGTTGATCTTACTTTGAGATTTATTCGCTTACAATACCTTTTTTTATCCACATTCTAGGCTCTAACATATCATGTTCACATTTTGGGAATACATCACTATGTCCCTCATGGATGTCACCTATATGGTTGAGAACTGACAACCACTTTGCCTTGACAAGTTCTTCATCCCCATTGCTGGAAGCAGTACACCAGTATACATGGTTGGAAATTGATTGGGCCCAATCTGACAATAATTTGCAACCACTTTTTTTTTGATGCTGCCAAAATTTTCATGTTGATTCCTGTTGGGTTTTGATTATTGATAAAATGTGTAAAAGGTTGGTTTGTTATGACAATCTATACCTTTTGCTACATGCCATACATCAAAGTAGTGCTCGATTTTTGGTCTTTGTTTTGACATGTAGGATTTGATTTGAGCATTTCTGTTTGTGGTCATTGACTTCACCTTCGTCCCACTTTCATCAAACTTTGCCAGACATCTTTTTAATCGCTCAAGTTCCATTACTCCAGAGTTGGACACTTCATTGGACTGTTTAACATAATTATGTGAGTATTCTAATCATTTTTTATGTACAGTTGTTGAAGAATTGTTACCTGAACAAGTTGTGTGTCTAAAATGTTGTAAGATTCCAAATCCATGCAGCTATATGACCCATACTTGGCACGATATCCAGGCGAATCACATCTTCCATGTCCTCCAAGGTTAATGTGCCTTTCTCTGATTGATTCTAGAAGATGCTTTAGGTGCATAAGTCAAATATTTGAAACACTGGGTATCAAATACTCTGTTTGAATATAGCTATATGTACGCTCTGACAGAAATTGTATGCCTGAGTGACGAAGGAATTGAAGAACTTTGCTGGTGCTACTACCACTAAAGAAGATGCTGGCAGCAAAGACCAAGTTACCCAAAGGCATTCGCCCATGCAGAGGTTGGCTATTCCAGTCTTGAATATAACCACAATGACATTTTGCTAGTACGTTAACCATACTACAAGTCGTTTTGGTCACAATGGAATAGCCTTCACCACAACATGGGCATTGACTCACTGTCTCAGGCAACTATCAAAAACTATGCATTTTCTCTCATTTTGAGCATCTTCCCTATAACATAAAACTTACCATCAGAATCAGAGAGATAAACGTAACGTTCTGAGAAACATATAACAGAGAAAAGCAATGTAAAGAATAGTCAGGGGACTGAATAGTTGGTACTAACGTCGCATTGTCATTGTCGGATTCTTCATTTTCGCTTAACACATTTTATTGCTCATCGTCGACGTGCTTTCTGTATCAGACCATACAGCGCTATCCTCAAAATGTTCAATTTCATATGACGTCGTCTGTGTGCTGTGATTTGTGGTTGAAATTAACTCAACCTCCGTACCTTAGCATAAAATTATCGTATTGTTGGATTTTTCACAAAAATCAAAACGGCCGAAATGGAAAGTCTATACCTCTACTTATCATATTTGGCACTTTTGTTTGAGTGGTTCTTGACCTTGCGTGTTTATGCGAGCGGATTGTTATGGCTGCTTGGCATTTCACATTGCGCTTCTAAGGTACGTCAAGGAATTTTCTATGAGTTAAAATAACAAAGAAAAGATCAAACGACATTAGTCTGAATTAGTTACCATTGTATATGTTTGTGTTTCGCTGTCTACATATATTTTGACATCTTTTATCTTAGACTAACTTCCTTTGAGGTAAAACGCACAAACATTTCGAGCCGATGTCGACACATCGTGGTCGTCGACTACAAGAAAGTCGTCATATTCTGTAAGAACGTCGTCAATAGTCTAAAATTATAAAGTTGTCTTCAATTTGGTAATGCTATACAGCTTAATTTTTGATAAATGTAAACAAATATTGCAAACTATAACTATAATATTCACCTCTTGCCTTCGTCTCTTCTCAAATGCAGTTCTAACATTTGTTGGCTGCTTCCTTTTAGATGCTACACTTGTGGGTTCCACAGAGTATTCAAAAATCGTGGGTACAGCATCCTTCTTAAGGCGAAGCCGTCCTGCTGTCCATCCTACTGATTGCATCGCTTCAAAATTTTGCACGAAGCACGAACTCTCGAAATGTTGCGAGAACAATTTTGAGCTCATTGTTGGCTTCCAATTTTTGCGTCTGATTTGTTCAATCCAAATATCTCCCATGCGCTTGTTTTCGGGAAACGAAAAAAAAAGAAACCTTTTGCTGCGTTTGGTGGTTCTTAGAAGAACCGTTTTTACAATTAAATGCGGCACAATAAACAAAATTTTCAATGCTAAATTGTCATGTTGTTAAGAAGTTACCAATATATTTTGAACGAAGCGCACAATTGACCGCGTTTAGCTAATGTCAACTATTACGTCAAAACGACCTTTTTCCAATCGGTAGCCGTCGTTAGCTCGTCGGGCATTTTCAATACGTTATCAGTAAAGCATCAACTTTAAACCTCCATATCTTCAAAAATATTTATCCTTTGAGTCTCAAACTTTGGTAAACTATTAGTTGGAGCTATACCTTTATCTAAATCTTAAAGGACACATTATGTTGCATGTGTCCTTTAAGATTTGCAGCAGAGCCAATCTTAAACCTTCCTACTTCTTGGCACCCAAGATTATTTCCAGACACATATGCAATGGTACCCCTAACGTTTCTTGCAAGCCCTTTGATTTTTCATTGATATTCTTCGTCCTAGATCCAACACACAATAATGTCATTATCTACCAGAGGTGCGAAAAAGGGGTTTGGTTGGGGCAAATGGGGGGCGACTGCACCCTTCCGAATATTTCCCATAAAAATTAGATCTTTTTCACAGTTCTGGTTTGAAGTTTTTTAGGTACCCCACGTTATACCTTTTCAAGTTCAGAAAGCTCTTCCATGAATGAACATCACAGAGAATTAATACCATATTTCTTAATAACAGGTCTCCTTGCAATTGATATCAGTTCTATTGCTTTTAACTGCGACCGATATCGTGGTAAAATGTTACCCAATGTGTAGTAAACAAGTCCTACGTCAAATATAGAGAAAACAAGCAAATTAGTTTAGAATATTTTCAAAGTTGACTTGCAATTTGTGTTTTGTGAGCATGAACTCATTTGTGCAGCGATTTGTGGCAACACTTTGCTGCAACACATTGGACAAAATGTCAAAATTATAGTAAATTAATTAGGGAGGAAAGGAATAGGTCAGGCAATAAATCTGATATAATCTGGAAAGATTAATAAATGTGGCTGATGTAGACCTATAAGTACTGTACCTAGTTTATGTTTCACTGTCTTGCTTCCCAGGGGATTGACAATTTCTACTTCATCATAATATAATACAATTTGAGGAGCAGTAGGATCGATGGAAAACAAGGGATGGCTTTTGAATTTATTGCCATTACAATAATTTGATAACAGCCCATCTTGTATTTGGTGTGAATGCAAGACCTAAATAAGTATATATAGATCATTTAAATATATTCTTGAAATAAGTTTGTTAAAAAATTGAAGCATTGGAGTGCCCAAATGGTGAAAAAATATGGTGAACAAACATAACTTTGGGCAGAAAAGCCAGTCAGCTGCTACATCTAGAATAGCATGCTGTATATGTCACTAGTTTTTTATGTTCAAAGGACATTGGCAACGAAAATTTCTTTTTATACGTTTATCGTAGATAGCTGTGGAATACTTAATTTCGTGTATCTTTTGAATTTTACTGTTGAGAAAATTTGACATAAAGTTGAATCCTTATCCGCCATTTTGAAAATAAAACCTTATGCTAAATTATGCCGGAAAACATTACTGAAGTCATTGGCTGGTATCCACTGAATGACATAATATAAAATAATAGTATTATAATATATAGTACATTTGTTCACTGGAATTTTAAAACAAAAACAACAGTCGGCGGTTGTTAAGATTAACAAAAGTTGTGTAGTTTATCACGCTTATATACTTTTCCAATATTTAGTCGTTATAAGACGTAGAAACGTTTATTTTAGCAGATCTTTCAAGTAGGTTTTGCCGACATACCAAGTGTAGGCCCAGACAACAACAAGGGTGTTTTATACACTGAACATTTCGTGCAAGAGAAATATTTCATTTTCCCATAATACAAACCTGTGACCAACAAATGAGTTATACGTTTAATTTATTATTTGTATACACAAGAGTCTTTGAAAGATTATGTAGTTTTAAAACGGTGATAAGATCTAAGCCGCTATGTTTTGTTCTTGACTGTAGAGTTTCGTTTATCCGCAATGTTTTACGTGCGTGTTTGCGTGCACAATGTACAAGTACACTTTTCGATTAACTTTATAACTTGTGAATGAATACAAGTTTTGGGTGGATCACTCATGCATTTTGCTTTTGCGCAGTTTGTGACAATCCCCTTGACAATGATATGGCATCGCAATTGCAGATCATGACAAAGAACATCAAAGAGCGTCTGTCTAAGACTAAATTTATGGTCTTTCGTGATAACATGCGTATTTAAAATGTGTAGAAAGTCCGTCTGGTGACGCGAAGCGTTTTCGTATGCAAGCATAAACACAAGCAGGAAATGGTAATCGATGTTTCTTCCCCAAAATTTGAAAAATCCACCTAGAACATCTTTGATAGGCAACTAATCGATACAGCTTGTGTATTCTCTCTAGATCCTCATCAGACAGGGGCCAGTTTTCTTCAAGATGCCGACACGCGTCTTTAACACACTTTCTGAGAGCATATTGTCCCTAAATTCTTGGTGTGTTGTCAAGCAATTTACTCCTTCAGTTTCTGTTTGGCCTAGCAAAGCCTCATACTCATCGTATTCAAGCGCTTTTTCGTGGCAACAAAAACACTCGATTACCTTTTTTGACAAAGTACAATGTCCAAACTTACACCAACTAAGAGTTTGAAGGCGCTAAGCATTTGCTTTCTCAAATTCAGTATGTATTTCATCCTCCGACGAGGACAAGTCGCTCTGCTCACTCTCCCAGTGGCGTGCGGTGACCGAATTTAATAGGCAAGCGCTGACAGTGATTCCACAATGCATTCAGTCATGTTGTACAGGTGTCGTGAAAATACCGAATGTAGAAGTAGAACATAAAAGGATGAAAATTCCTATGCTATATATTTTATAGGAACATCAATCTTATTTATACCTTACATCAGTTACATGATATCTACCGGATACAAATATCAAAACTACTACGCAAAAGGAAGCTCTTGTCAATATCATAATCTTGTATTACATGCTACAGATAATATCTTCTACATACATAAATTGCAAGACAATAGGCGTGAAATGTATTGTAGCAGTCGTGATTATAACAATTAAGAACAGCCAGTTTCGCGCACAAAATTGGCACGGTGTGTTACAAATTGAGGCCATGGCGTTGTTTAATGTTTATATTTTGGTATAATGACGTCATGGCAACGTGTTCTCCCGTTCTTCAAAATGTGTCTGGCACTGAACTCGTACGTTTCAGAATATCGGAGAGTCGTGTTTATTATTTAGTATCTTGTACCTTTTATTTTTAGTCATTAATTTACGAATTCAACGACACAAGACTGACAAGAGCATAGTGTTTTGGTCATAATGCTAGTCATACTTTACCACAACACATGTTTGCGTGCATTTCGATATCTCTGCAGACTGCGGCCCCTGCTTGTTTACGCACATTGTGCGCAGAAAATAATAAAATAACCAGTAAAGCACCTACTACTTTGAATTAGAAATCAGAACATTACCTTTCGCTCTCAGTCATCTTTTAATAAACGATAACATTAACGGCGTGAATAATTCGGATGTCCAATGTGTTGAATATACGAATATTATTCGTGCGCTGATATGTGTTTAAAATTGGTGATTGCTAGATAGTATACTTCAAAATAAGATTTCCGCTGGGAGACTGGTGCGAGTTTTGCAATATCTTCGGAAAAAAGAAACGAGAGCATCACGAATAACGAACAAAGATAGAGCGATAAACCCTGGGTAAACCTATTATCAATGAGAATAGTTTAGTGTAGGAGTTTTATTGTGATGAAGTTGTTGGTATTTGATTGAATCAGTATGCTAGAAATTCATTCTCCTCAAGGTAAGAATCGCAAAAAATATATAAATGTATTGAATAATTATACTATTTTACTCATATAATTGAAGCAAATTATCAAGATATACAATAAAATACATCCAGGAATATTCACTCATTAATATATATGTACATATATATACGACTATGAGATACAAACATATGAGACTGCGAGATATACAAAGATATATGTCGAATTCAGGTAAATCTTTAACAAACGAAATTTTACACGGGTTGAGCCGGTTGACACATCAACAGCCTTATTAGGTAGCAATATTAGTCTACTACAAATTTATTTACATTAAATCAGTTTATGATTAGCATGATATGGCATTTGAGAACAGTACCTATCAGGTTATTAATTAAGACCAGACACTATATTTTTCTCTGATGGCTGATGCAACACTTTGTCTGTTTCCCACCCTGATTATCATCACTGCAACATGTGAAGAGAGAAACATAACCTGTGTATAGCAATATACTTATCCATAATTTTAACCATAATTGTGCAATGTCCCATAATCCAAATGTGCTTTTCTATGGCCTTTCATTATGTCTCATGCATGATTATTTTTATATATATAGTGGTGGATCTAGGAAAATACATTGAAACAGTCCATCAATTGGTTTCATTTAACCTTGAAAAATTCCTAAACAAAGCCATTGTTATAAAGGTACTTCGAATTGAAAAATATTGCCCATAACTTATTTTTCCTTACCCTAGATCCACTACTGATTTTATAAAAATGTACATCATGAACAGTCCTTCAGCATTTTATCATTGTTGACCTTTCCAGAATATGACAAGGCTCTTTGTTTACTTCATGTGGGAACATTGTGAGCTGTTTTCTTTCCAGACACTGTTTTAGATGTTGACGCATCTGGCTCTGTTGGAAAATGACTGCTCCAGGATAAATTCCATTAGCAAGAGAAACTGCATTAGCTATGGCAAAAAGACCACAATCTACAAATCCTGCTTGCTTTTGACAGCACCTGAGTTTTACTAGCAGTAGACCTCCTTTTGCTATACTCTTGTATAAGTATACCAATTGCATGGTGAGTGGATGTGTCATCCCAGGATACAGAGAGTCGTAGACTATCACTGATTGTCCATTTGACTGAGATACTAGCCAATGACCTGGAAGATTATGAAGCTGGATTATGTTAGTCATTGAACTGTTTATATTTGGTAAACCTTCCCCACTAAGTTGGTTTGATACTATCAGTGTATCCATTAGGCCACATGCTTCTGGGAATTGGTTTTTAAGAAGAATTTGTGCTGCATTGATGTGTTTGTCGTTCATTAGATCTCCTGAACTAAGTATGTTTTTATCAACCAGAGATAAATTTATATTTGAAACATGTAGCCAAGGCTGTGGTCTTGAAAGATTTTCGCAAAGCCGTTTATTAGGCGAGCTGAGGTCAATTACATTAGGTCCCGTTGAACACCTCTTCACAGCCTTACCAGAAGGTATTGGTATATGTACTTTATAATTTTTTTTCATTATTTCTGCACGTCTTCCAACTCGACCAGTGTATGGGTGCTTAGGACGCCCATAGGATCTAATATTAATTGACTTAACTCTTGTTTGCTTCTTTTGACTATTTTTGATTTTGTCATTTTTTTTAGATTCTTGTTTTGGTAGTGAATCTTGAAGAATTATTCCTGCTTCCTGTGGTGCAGAGTTTCGTGCTTCTTCTAGCAATGTATTAAGACCATTGGTAAGAGACAATAGTTGTTGTTTGTCATCTATAAGAAATGTCAAGCTGGATAGTTCTTTCATTAGATTTCTACATTTGAGACGTAGAGCATTTTACCATATGTCTTTTTCGGTGGAAGAGGAGCAAAATCATCAGCATCATTTGGCACAAGCGATTCATTCTTAATGTGTTGAGGTGAATTCTGCTGCTCTTTTTTACTAGGAATATTTTCGAGCGAGTTATCTGCTGGAACTATGGTGTTATCTAGATGAAAAAGTGGATTTTCTCGATAAAGTGGGCTGAGTCTATCCCATTTCCACTCTGGAAAGCTCTTATGCAAGCACAGAAGTGTTTGCACAAAAGTTTGTTGTGTCTCCAGTCTACGCAGGTGCAGTTTGGAAGCGTTTGTTCATCACCAAAAAGTACGATATGGTGCTCCTTCCCTGTTGAACTTTTTACTTCAAAGACCCCTGGGGACACCATGTGGACCATGTCTTTGCTAATGTCACTATCCCAACGCTTCATAATATGAGACACCATTCTGGCAGGTCTGTTGTGCAGAAATTTTGGAAGTTCCTCATTATAAGCACGGTAACCTTCGTGACATTTAACATTTAGCTCAGCATATCTAAAATTGTAAAGGAAAACGTCACTCACGAATATTATTACATCTTATTAGAATCCAAAGATGACTAAAGTCTACAGTAAGTGCCGCTGTAGTTAGCCTAATCACACCTTTCAATAATTTGTTAATTAAGCAGTTGTTTTTCAAAGAAGGGCCTGTGTCACACAACAAAACCCTACGAAATGAATTTTTCCTTCAAAACTGGTATTTTTCGTTATAAAACATAGAATCATTATAGTATTGTGAAGTATTAAAATTTTACTTTTGAAGGTATTTGGGAGAAACCGATCAACAAGTGCTGTCAGCATATCACTTAAGGAGCACCCTTTATTCCCATGGAGGTACTCATATTTGAATGCCTTATTCTGTCTTTCAATGCCATTGTTCGTGTTCACTGCACAAATGAAATCTCCTGTCCGATACGCTTGACACCATCTCTGTAAGAAAACGATCAATACAGTATATTTTGCATGTTCTGCTAGTACATAGTATTTTATTTGAGATTATGAAATAATACAACGATATAAGCCCTGGAGATTTGGTTTTACAAAATTGCCTAGTAAAATTTTATAATTTTATAAAAGGGTCTCCTTCGAAAATAGCAAAATTAATTTAGACTATTTCATGAATAGTACATCGCTTTTCTATCAACGTTGATTCCATCGCTATATTTAGTTTACTACCTTAATGTTTGGCAGCCACTTTCCACCAAACCAGTTTCTCATTTTGAGATTTTCTTTCCAAAATATGCTTTCTGTCAGGGCGTTCATTGACTTTTGACATTGTTCAGACGTAGCAGCATGTGCAATATTGCGTAGTAGATTTAGAATTTCCTGTTTATTCTGAAAAACACCATTATCTATTTTTGACGTCCACTCCTGCCACGATTTCTCTCGATGAAAATCACAAAGAAGTACTTCCGCATCTATTTTACATGAAAATGTTTTATATGTAATGAAATAACTACTTTTCTCTAACGACACCAACTATGTTTATTTTAGCATTTTCAATGTTCGATTTTTAACTTTTGGTCTGCATGCGATTAGAATTATGGCAAAAATGCGACAATATATTCATACACGTATAAAGTTTATCGGGGAATTCCGTAAATGTTTAAAGCGTTATCGTGGAGCTTTAAAACCACGATGCAAATCTGTTGTACGTTTGCATACCTGGAAAGGTTGTTTCGAGTGCTTGAATTTCTTCTTCGGCGAAATCTACCATAAAACGAGAAGGCTTCCATATATCAGCATTCCACTCCTTAAACACCATCAACGCTTCCTGTATACATTTGATGTTTTCGAACTGTATGATAAATGATCCAACAACTTGGTAACATACATTTGTTCTCACACACAAGAAATAAAGTGGGAGATCATACTTCGTTGTTCTATAGGTGGCATCGAGTAAGCACATTTGATTGCCATACTTTCCTAGGAGGTGTTTCTGATATTTCGTTTGATGACAGAAAATTAAAGTGCTTGTGTCCATCTCTAACGATTCCTCTGTATCTTCGTTTGAGATGGTGTTATCATTGTTCTCTGTTGACTCCTCTGCACATGGTTTGCCGGAGTGAGGACGAAACAGAAAGAAATCTTGTGGATTTTCAAACTTCCATTTTTTAATAAGCTCTTCCAAGTTCTTTTGATCATTGGAAGAAAAATGGTTCGGCTTTCCTTTGTAAAGATGGTTATAGATATCCTTGTTCGTAGGATAAAATCGCCTGCTAAGTTTATCTGGAAGTTTACACCCCTTGAATAGTTCACCATTTACAAATAACTCAAGATATCTACGTGCTTCGCATACTGGTGAACACCGTCGCGGGCCAGCTCTGCTAGCTTCTCCACTATCACTGGATCCAATGGTTCTCTTATACCAGCTGCTTGCAAGGTGTAAAACTTTTACAAAAATTTTTAGCTATAGCTAATCTCTTTTTAAACAAATTTTACCATTCCAGTTATGTGATTTTTGTGTTCTGAAGGGCGAGGAAACTTCACGACATAGTGCATCTCGATGTCGCTGCTCTTAATTGTGCCAGTTTTCATTGTCTCATGTAATTGCTTTGCTGTTCTTCTTCTGAAGAAGATACTGTCCTTGTCCAACTAAAGAGTAAAACATTGTAATGTCCTTTTACGCACAAGTTTTATAATTATATATTATTTTGTCTTCATTTTATAGTGTTTAACAAACCTTCATTCTAGGGAATTTTGCAATTTGCGTTATATAGATTAAAGCTGGGCATTGTTTCTTCTTTGTCGTTTGAGCAAACAATCTTCGCGTAGAATTGTAGCAGTGGTCTGTAACCTAAAAATGTATAAATTTAACATTCTTTATAAATACAAGGAAGACGTAAAATATTGTATAGTTGGCTGCATTTTTATTAGCGCAGATTATACATTGTGCAGGAATACACAAGGTGAAAAAAGGCAACGAGATGTCTTAGCAACATTTTAGAGGACGCAAACTATCATTCTTATTACAGTAATCTAGTCATTGACTACCTGTCGCTGCTGATTTTTCTTTCTTCTTTAGCTTAGATTTTTCATTTTGTCTTTTCCTTGGTGGCACCATAAAATTTTATCTCCGACATGCACAAAAGGTATTCCGTCAAATGGGATAATAGGCCCTTGTAACGCTTCATTCTTCCTTTCCCAGTAAACTTTTACGTTGTCTTTCTAACATCTGAATATGTTAATGATTAAAATTTTACAACCGGGGACGTCTTATATCAATGTAAATTTTTGGTTGTGCTGTTTTTAAAAAGCGTAATATTACGATTAAATTAAGCGCAAGAAGAAACGATTACCAGAGCGTTGTGTCTCTTTATTTATAGTAGTAAAGTGCACTTAATTTATTAGTATGCTATTTACTACTTTTTATGCAATTAATTTTGTACATTTCAGCTTTTCAACTGCCACTCAAATTAATTTTTATTAAATTGACGATGTATTAAACTGTTGAGCTAATTACCTTTTGATCCAAAGCTCTTATCACCGTAGTAGACAATGAACTTGCTGTTTGTCTCAACTTCGTATTTCACGATAAGCGGCATTACATCAGACAGGCTTTGCACGGCAGCCCTGTGGCCGTCACAGCAGTCCCAAATTTTATTCATTGACATTAATTCGTTGAAAAATTTACATTACAAAGATAGTAAATTTTCATAAGTTTATAATGACGAACTATAGCCTATATGCGTGGTGTTCATTAATTGTTTTCCCGCAAAATTTTAAAAATGGCGCATTGCATTATAACAAAAAAGGACATCCTTCAAAAGAACACGGTATACTCGTGATGCTCTCGTTTCTTTTTTCCGAAGATATTGCAAAACTCGCACCAGTCTCCCAGCGGAAATCTTATTTTGAAGTATACTATCTAGCAATCACAGTTTAAAATTGCGAGCGTACAAGACTGTTGACCAATCACTATCAAGCGGCGCCCTTAGAAGCGCCGCTTGCCTTTTCTCGATATTCCTCGAATAAGAAGCCTCCAAATCTAGATTAACGCATGCGCAAATGTTCAAATTGAGCTTCGAAGGCAAGCGCGCTTGCCTTAGTTAATAAATATTCGGTGTATTTAATCCACTTGACTCATCTTACAAGTGTAGCAAAGTGAAACCGAAAACCACGACAGTAAATCGCGTATAAATAGCAAGCATTTCAACTGTAAAGACAATTTAGACAAAAGATTACATTGACATTGTTTAGAACAGAAAAATTTAAACTGATTTTGCTCAGAGATTGATCCAAAAAATTTTTGTTCGGTAAAATGCTTAGGCAAGCGGCGCTTGCCTACGCTTGCATGACCGCACGCCACTGCACTCTCCTGTTCGGAACCGCTTTCTTCACTGGTTTCGGCCTTCACTTCAGGTTCATATTGATAGGGCAGAACCTCACCCGGTTGATTTTGTGTATGTCATCCATTACAGCAGAAAAAAACCCCGTAAAATACGCTTTAAATGTGTTGTAACGCAGTCAATCACAAAGTATATTGTATTGTTGTTTTGACTGCTCACCAGCCAATGACGTCACTACCACTCGAGACAATTTTATCAAAATTTTATCCAAGATGGCGCAAGTTATAAAACTTTTGCTGCAAATTTCTCAGCAACAAAGAATTTTTGAGAAAAAATTTTTCTATTTTAGTTGTTAGACATCACAAAGGTTCAAAAATATGCCATAAAAATTTTCGTTGCCAATGTCCTTTAAAGTGCTTATCTCACAATTTTTTTTTTGAATTTTCTGATTGAGGTAAAAAAATCATTGTAAAAGTTATTTTACAATTTTCTGATTGATGGCTTCGTTTATGAGATAAATGCGTTTCTATTCTCAAAATCGGCAATAATGGAGAAAATTGTTGCGCGTCCAATTTGCTTGATGAGAGCCTGAATCGAGAAGTATGTGACGTAACATAAGGACAGGAAGTTTTTCTGAAGTGTGACTTTTGCTATAATTTCTACTTTATTTACTACGGCTCTGCATCAAAATGCCTGATAGATGTGCAGTTTTCGTCTGTTCAAACCGAGCAAATTCTGCGGAAAGAATTTCTCTTCACCGTATACCATTTTACGGTGATGAGCGTCCTGAAGCGAAGCGAAGACGCAAAATCTGGGTGAATTTTGTTGCAAGAAAACGCGCTCAATGGACACCGACTAAGTATTCGGCTGTTTATTATTGTGATGGCAAGGAAACTTGGGCAAAGTTCAAATCTTTCCTGAGTCACATAGTAGACAAGCACACCAATTTGGATAATCCACTGTTTTCAAGTTGTTTTAATGGCCCTGATATTAAACCAAGGGAATATTTGTTAGAAGGTTTGTGAAGGCATTATTTAAAGATAACTTCCCTAACAGTTTATCATCATTCTTTGTTGTAATGTTTAAGGTTCAGTTGCTCATGAAAAGCTTAGTGCTAAATTGTTAAACCCACAGCTGATGAAGTCAATTCACCAGGCTTCACCAGTTGCTCAAACAAGTTGTTTGGAAATATTCCTTTCTGTCCTGAATCATTTTGCTCCAAAAATGATTCATTATTCCTATGTTGGAATGTATTGCAGGTGGGCGAAAATTTCCAATATGACAATGTAAGTTGTTGCTAAATGTGTTGCTTTGCATCATTTCATAGTATTGAGTACGACAATAATTTCTTTTTAGAGTATGTGGATGAATTATTTGAGAGTGTGATGCTGTCAATAAAAGACAAAAACGCATTATCAAATTCACAAAATCTTTTGAAAGAAATGTCCCCACCACCAATGAATGTCATGCTGCAAAAGCAACCCAGAGCTGAGGTGTTACTAAAACAGGTCCGTTGAAAATGCTTTGTGGTCAATGATGTCCCTCCCTCAATTCCAGGTAATTAATAATGATTATATAAGATGTGGTAGCTAAACATGGTTTGAAAATCATTTTAAATAATAAAAATGTTTTTGTTTCATGCCAGCAGCTACCAGTGTGCCATTCAGCTGTCAGTCAAAAGTGGCAGTTTCAAAAGAAAAGAGTCAGCCAAAATGTTTGACATGCAAGAAGCCAATGAAAGGTCACAAACATGTGGCAGATTGCCCAAAAAATAGGAAAACTTAATTTTCACTTCACTCATTTATTTCATTTTTTTCGTACCCTCTAAATTCCAACTTTTTATCATTAAATTTTGATCTTATTGCATGGTATGCACATGCTGGTAATGGTCTTCTTTCTTCTCCTAAGCATCCATAAATCATAGATGTGAATTCTCTGTATGCAACACATCGTAAAAACCTGAATATAAAGCCAAATCATTACTAATGTGTCATAACACTAAAATATACTTAAATACTGGGAAATAACATAATATGCTATCATACATGTTTTCAGATCCTGTTTCTCTGTATCGTCTTTGTTCTCTGGTTTTGTATTTCCTAGCAGCCATTTTTAGCGACCACTTCTCCAAACAAACTGGTCTGAAACCTGGGTGTAGAGTGACACAACATGGAATAGTTGACAGATCTGCCAGAACCGACTGGTGTGTTAAGCTTTCAGCTACAGACTTAAGTTCTTGGCAGCACCAGGCCTCTAGAGGATTCTGAAGAAGTGTAACTTGACAAAAACCACACTTGCACCTGATCAATAAAGAAAATCACATTAAAAAATTGTAATCGAGCATCTTTTAACAATTTTTTACCCAAAAGTAAATAAAAAAAGCGATGGTAATCTTGAATAGAAAATTGCACTTTTATGTCTATATTTCATAACTTGAAACCTGAATTGAAATACAATTCATAAGTTGAATTAAAATTAGAAATTTTATTACTCACCAAGAACTCAACTCAACTGTGTGATCAAGTCTTTTTTGTAGCATTTCAAGTTGCTTTTTATGTTCATTTGACTTTTCCACGTAGTCTTCATACCATGCTTGTTCGGCCATTGGTTCATCAGCGTATAGATAGGACTCGGACTCGCCGTGATTTTCATCTATTATATTATATTCCTGGTCATTAATGTTCCTTGTTTCATCTTCAATGACATAACCGGGAATATAATCATACTCCGAATCACATTGCGAACTATGAGAGCTTTCCGAATCAGAATTCAACTCCGCCATCTAATTGTTGATAACAACAAGCCCTTGACTTGTTCCTTAAGTTACGTCACAGAGACTTGATCCAGGCCCTATGCCAATTATCAACTTTTACTGTCAAATTTCATATTTGATCAATAATAATTCGAAAACAATGCAGCGCATGAAAAAATTGTAATATAAGTTTTAGATTACTTTTAAAGAAGCAATACGAAAATTCGAAAAAAAAAATTGTGAGATAAGCACTTTAAGTAACCTGATCTAATATGGCTGGATCTTGCAGCATTTGCTCTAGGCTCTTAAGAAGACGAATTTCGATGACTTCATCTTGTTTTGGGACTGTTCTTCTTTCAACACCCATTCTTTTCTGAACATGGGTGATTCCCAAAACACTTTGTTTTGGTTCCTTCAGGAAAAACAAAGATTTAAAATGACAACTAAAAAACTTGAAAGAAATTTTGACATGGCATATAAATGCTTTTATAAACAAAGTATGAATTTCTATCTATAGGTCTAGCTTACTGAAAACTTACAACCACTCCCATAACATCTCTAAAAAACTTATCTTGTTGCCATTTGCTTTCCATACCCAGGAATGGATTATTCACGACATTTTCTTCCATGAATACATTTTCCAGCAATTCGCAGACGTCTGGCATGTCGTCATTTTCAAGCAATGATAACAGACGACATTTCACTAATTCAAGGGAATTTTGGACGTTGGAAGTAGTATTTCTGACGAGAGTATCGACTGATTTTTCAGATAGTTTATGCATTTCTTTAGTTTCTAACAGAAACCGGGCGTTCATCAACCTGATATTCTCCTCTTTGTGGCATATATCGATGTTTGCACCACCGTAATCATCGTCTTGAGTAATGTCATTAACTTTTCCTGGCTCGCCATTGCGATCTTCATTGTCTTCGCTCATATTTATTTCATGATGAGACCATTTGAAAAGAATTCTCACCAATGAAATTATTCAATATGTTTGCATGCTTTCTGCGCAAATGAGATTTGTAGCCTTCGAAGGTGTAATAAATACTTGCATAACGTGGTGCCTGACAAATAACGTGAAAGTTATCCTCAAATTCGTGGCACCGTTTTAAATGATTTCGTAACAATGCCAGCGTTGAAAAGCTCGAAAGGCACATTGAGCAAGTCAAGCCATTTTTCTAAATCTCGCTAAGTCACTTTATATGGAACGAGCTCAACACATGTGCTTTGCACGTGAATCACTGTGCAAGCCAGACGCGCACGCGCAATAGCCGCAATGGTCAATATAGTAACAATTGTTTTTTAAGTCACTACACTTACTTGCTAAGTGGGGCGGGTGGCTGATGATTAATTGCGTGAGCTGTAAGCCAGACGGCGCGGGTTCAATCCCGGCTCGTGGCACATTTGGCAATGTGTCTGTAAACCTCGCCCGGGTTGACCAAAGCCATGTGAGGGAAATTTGGTGGGGGACAAGTAGCAAGTCTTCACGTGCCGTCCCTGATTTCGACTGATTGCTACAACACGCGCAACAAAACGCGAAAAGATATGATGATGATGATGATGACTTACTTGCTGTTCGTTTTTGTAGTCTAGTCGTAATATTTGCACCGAACTTCTTGCAATGCCTTCGATTATTGATTTAACCAGCTCTGAATTGCCCACGTTATTGAAAAGAATGGAGTGGAAAATGAAGTCTGTGGAAAACCTGTGCTTTTCGCAATAAGTATTTCTTTTTACCTTTGTAGCTAGATCTTTAGAAAAATCCAAGCATTCACGACACTTAAGATTTGCAGCAGAGCCAATCTTAAAACCTCCTACCTCTTGGCAATCAAGATTATCTCAAGACACTTATGCAATGGTACCCCTAAAGTTTCTTGCAAACCCTTTAATTTTTAATTGACATTCTTCGTACTAGATCCAACACACAATAATGTTATTATCTACCAGAGGTGCTAGAAAGCGGTTGGGTTGGGGCAAAGTGGGGCGACTGCAACCTTCCGAATATTTCCCATAAAAATTAGATCTTTATAATATATAACCTGAAAATGTCAGTCTTTTTAAACAACGCGCAATAAATGTAAGTAACATTCGCAGGGTGTCCCACCCCCTTCCCAAAAAATAAAAATCCTTCATCCAACATAGAATGCAAAGGGCAGAAACAATGGCTTAACACAAATATGTATAAATAGCACAAAATAGATGAGTATACACTCCTCTATATTTTCAAGCAAAATAGTGGTCTAAAAATAGGTACTCAATGTGTACATGTGGGTACAAATTTCACATCGCATTACGTTTGGTCAGCTCAGTATTTTCATGCAATTTCTGTAAGAGAAAGTGTGTAAGTCTGTCTCGAACAAAGCACTAGCTGTGACTCAATAGCCAAAAATTGGTTCGAATAGTGTAACAGAATGACGTATTACAAAGATTTTGTTTGAGTTTGTGTGAACGTGGCACGTCATTAATGCAGCTCAACTTTCAGATGTATCACACTGTTCTGTTATATACCATTTTTAAATAAACGAAACGTCTATCAAGCGTTCTCTAGGGTTCCCTAGGGCTTTCATTGTATAGATTTTTAAATTTACAAAGTTAGAGCATTGAGAAATTACTTAAATCATTTTTTTGTTATGGAGCATTTAATTTTTTCCTATTGCAAAAATGATTTTATGCTTCGTTGAAACCCGGCTACCTGGGCTCATCCCTTTAGACATTCCAAGCTGTCCTTGTTGACTAGATTACACAATTGCGAATAAATCCAAAACGAATTCTTCAGTTAAAAGTTAGCTTTTAGGGGACATCCTGTATATCAGAGTGCTCTTATTACACTTTTGTTTAACGAGGAACGGATGAGTATAAATAAAAAAAATAAAAGTAATAAAAAGACAAAGAGAACAGTTGTCTTCAAAAACTCTTTACTTGAATGATAATAGAATACTAATTTTCCTGCATGTTAATAGCCATAATTCAATCCATCATTTGGTTGAATAGCCATCCAAGTCACTTACTTCATATGCGAATCAGCATATCATGACAGGATTTTACCTCTGTGGGTACACCTGAATATTCCTGTACATATAATAACGAGTAATATGTTTGTAAATGATGATCGTCCAGGTTAATAAAGTCCTGATAAGGACTGTTTTTGTTTTTGTTGAATAACGAGTAAATTGGAGCTGAAAATAGATTGCAAAACTTAAAAGGATTTAGGATTGGACATTTAAGCATTACTTCTTTACCCAAGTATATTGAACAATTAAGAATATATCTTGTGAATAAACACAATAAGCAAATCGTTGTACAATAAGCAACTTTTCAAACATGAAATTTTTGTTCAATAAGAGCTTATGATTAAATGCATTACGGCTAAACATATTAATACCTCATGTGACATAATTTGCAAAAGTAGATGAAGACGAGCTTTTTTGTGTCTTATCAAGGTTAGGTTGAAATTGATAGTACGAATAATTAAGATAAATCATAAACAGAGTTAAAAGTTCAAGCAACCTAGTCAAAGAAGTAAAGTGTATCTTCAACATGAGACTTTCGCAATGATTTTTTTTCTACAAATTTTTGTATAATGTAAACTTCATTTGTGAGTCTTCCACTAATACTTTTACCAAGAGATAAAAAAGACAAATTCATATGCAAGAGGTACAATATGAAGATTTATCAAGTTGTTTTTAAATTTCATAAGTATGAATTTCAACCCAAGAAAAACTGTTAACTGAAATTTGTAAGGGCACAGAAAAGAGTAGTGTAAGAAGATCGATATTTCTGGAAAAGTACTTTGCTTTTAACATATATAATATACAAAACCAAAATATTATAAGTAATGCACAATAAAATTTATAGAACTTGCTAAACACGTTTCTTTACCGTAGATTTTCTTCATGTTGCCTGAAATTTGCGATATTAAGCCAAAAAAGTTCCAGCGTTTAGACATAAAAAATTCAAGGTGGCGCCTAAACGCTCTTGCTCGGGAAATGTTGATTATAAACAATTGAAAAATTTCAGCCCTGTAGTTTTGTACAATAAATCGCCTAGAGCAAGTCTGGAAATTTTTTACATTGGAGAGGATAATTAGCAGAAAAAAAGTGAAGTGTGAGTCTTTAAAGGACACATGCAACATAAAATTCGGATTGTTATTTTTGTACTTTACATAAAGGTATAGCTCCAACTAATAGTTCACCAAAGTTTGACACTCAAAGGATAAATATTTTTGAAGATATGGAGGTTTAAAGTTGATGCTTTCCTGATAACGTATTAAAAATGCCCGACGAGCTAACGACAGCTACCGATGTCGTTGTGACGTAATAGTTGACATAAGCTAAACGCGGTCAATTGCGCGCTTCGTTCAAAATATACTTTGCCTGCATTAACAACACGACAATTTAGCATTGAAAATATGGTTTATTGTGCCGCATTTAATTATAAAAACGGTTCTTCTAAGAACTATCCAACGCAGCAAAAGGTTTCTTTTTTCGTTTCCCGAAAACAAGCGCATGCGAGATATTTGGATTGAAAAAATCCGACGCAAAAATTTGAAGCCAACAAAGAGCTCAAAATTGTGCTCGCAACATTTCGAGAGTTCGTGCTTCGTGCAAAATTTTGAAGCAATGCAATCAGTAGATGGACAGCAGGACGGCTTCGCCTTAAGAAGGATGCTGTGTCCACGATTTTTTAATACTCTGCGGAACCCACAAGTGTAGCCATCTAAAAGGAAGCAACCAACAAATGTTAGAACTGCATTTGAGAAGAGACGAAGGCAAGAGGTGATTATCATAGTTATATTTAGCAATATTTGTTTACATTTATAAAAACTAAGCTATAGAGCATTACCAAATTGAGGACAATTTTATAATTTTAGATTATTGACGACGTTCTTGCAGAACATGACGACTTTCTTGTAGGCGACGACCACGATGTGTCGACATCG